TTCCCATTTCCTGATGGCTTCTCTTCTCTTTAAAGTCAGCTTACCGCCCCGAGAGGAGTCTTCAAAGAACTCTCTTACTAACTTCCCTACGCAGTTACCGGGATGTCGCATCGGTTTCAACTTCTTAACGTCTGGCGTCTTTATCTCGTACGCACCGTAAATGACTACGGTAACCGGGTAAGCAACCTCGTAGAACAGCATGTCTATTCCTACCAATGCTCCCGGGCGTGTGTCTTCGTTTAAGACAAACAGGTCCTTCTTACCAGACGCCCTGATAGGACTGCGCCCCTTTTCTATCATCCACTCGCCGTCTAAATACTTTATGAACGTTAGCTCCAACCGGTAGTTACCTTCGGGTATTAAGTTAATTATTCTTTCAGCCCTTTCTTCTGTCATCGTCTCGTCCGTATCTCCCTCCATAAATGTTGTGAAGGCAAAGTCAGCATCCAGGCTATCCAACACCTGAGTTCGCAGTCGGCGCACAGTTTTATTTCGAATGCTTGTGATGGTGTCCATCTATATGTAAAGGATATCTTAACCTCCGTTTGCGGTACCCAACACAGCAGCAGTAAGGACTTATCGCGCGGCTCGGGTAATACCCGCTGCCGACGCATAGGGTTTGGCGCGGGCAATACCCGTGTCTCCCGGTACCCCCTCCGCGAGTCCCCCTTACTGCTGCTCATACTTACCGGATATCAGGACATAAACCTGTCAGCTGCTCGAGCAATATGTTCAACTCGCTAAACATGACGTCATTCAGGGCTGGATAGGAATTGGCTGCGAGAATCACCTGAAAATTACAAAACGGATCTCGTAAGTCTTTTTTCTTTTCCAGAAGGAACCACAAAGTGGTAGGATACGGCGGCAGAAAGGGCGGTATGGGTGAGGGGGTGGAGAGAGGGAAAATATTGTAACTTACCTTGGTACCACATAATAGAAGATATCTAACAAAAGGGAACACACCCAGGATGATATCAGCACCGCTGTTGTCAACGAACACCAGGGCACACTTGTAGACTTTATTCTGTTGAGACAAAAACGTGAAGAAAATAAAGATGAATATGCAAAAAGAGAATAAAAGCATGAAAGTAAGTAGAGGTGCTCACTTGTGTATTGTTAATCCATTCATCCAGGTCGTCTATGAGCCACGGCCGTTCTAGGAAAAAAATTAGACTGAAGTAAACCAGGTATGCCATTTAACTAATCATACATATCCAAGCACTTTCCTTCTAGCGGTTACCTCCTCCCCACACCATTCAAGACAAATCATTAGGATGTTAAGTTAGGATGTCCAAGCCATGGACCCCCTCCCCTCCCCTCTCGATGCAATACCTCCCATCCCCTACCCCCTGAAATAACAATGATTACTTTGTAGTTTATCCATGGCAGAACTAAATCCAAGTAATTTCTTTTCCATCAACCTGCAATATGAAAAAAAAAATTGTTGAAGTGAAAATTCACCCAGCTAAGAGTTGGAGTGTATGGAAGGCCTCGAATGGTCAAGCTTAACTTCTGTGCATGAAAATGCTTGGTGGCAGAGATTGTACCTTGAGGAAGTCTATGGGAGATTAACCATGCAATATCACATGGCCACAGAGGCATAGTTTATGTGGGTTTGGTGGAACGTGTATGAATATAGTTAATATTTATTGAAATTGAGTCTTTCTTACTCAGCTACTTCCATAGCACCCCAGTCAAACACATTTCCTGCCAAAATGCCACGAACCAAGGATTCTTGGCGCTGGTCATCATGGGGTAAATTATCTAAGTCTTGTACTCGCTGTGAGAACAATCTCAAAGCGTCTTCATTTTCTTGCTGCTTGACCTGTGGGGAAAAAATTAATCAATCAACATGGATCATTATCTTTATCGTATGTCATTATCATCAATGTCATCATCACCACCATCATCACTTCCATCATCATCATCATCGATCATCACTACCATAATCATCATTGATCATCATCACCATCATCATCAATCATCAACATTACCATCATCATCATAATCATTGATCATCATCACTACCACCAATCATCATTATCACCTTCATCATCATCATCATCACTACCATCGTCATCAATGTCATTATCATCATCAGAATCAATCATTATAATCACCATCATACTCATTGACATCAGTAATCATTACTGGTATCACAATCAACATACTTCAGCGTACAAGTCGGGAAACTGAAATTCATCCAGACATTGTTCTCTTGTATCAAGTAAACTTCGTACAGTCAGTGATCCATATGAACTGAAATACAAACACAACCAAGAGCTTTATCATTAATTTTGGTAAAGCAGACTTTGTGTGATTAAAACTATATAATGTAACATGGCAGCTCTTAAAGGGCTTTTGCTATCAATCAATCAAAAGCATTCAATTTCTAATTAACTTGCTTATATCATTATAGCAAGGTGTAGGATTGGTTGACCAAAAGGAGTAAGACGGGGCATTCAGAAGGGGTAGGATGGGACGACCATTCACCAGATGAGGATGGTACATGTGTGCGTGTTGGGGTTCTTCAATGAGCTGGTACTTACAAGGGCTTGTCATACAATACGTTTAGATGATCTTGATATTTGGCCCTAAACTTTTCTGCTCTGTCTTTAGCATCTGGTAAATTTGGTTGGCTGGCAATGGCTCGTTCTACAACCTTGATAAGATTGATATGTGAATGATATAAATCAAGATAGATGGAGAACACATGAATTGATGGGGTGGATAAATAGGATGGCATATGGTTAAACAGATGGATGGGATAGATGGATGGATGGATGAATGGAAGGATGGGATGGATAGATGGGATGGATGGATGGATGGATGAGATGGATAGATGGGATGGATGGATGGGATGGATAGATGGAATGGATGGATGGGATATATAGATGGGATGGATGGATGGATGGATGGATGGATGGATGGATGGGATAGATGGATAGGATGGATGGAGTGGATGGATGGATGGATGGATGGATGGATGGGATAGATGGATAGGATCGTGGATGGATGAACTAATGGATGAACTAATGGATGAGAGTGATGGATGAGAGTGATGGATTGGTAGACAGATTGATGGATTGGAAAGGTTGATGGAGTGATGGATGAGATGGTGAATGAATGAATGCATGAATCCATATCCTGTACCTTATCTAAAGCAGATCCACCAAAGCAATCCAACCAGTATTTTCTAGCTTCACTATCAACTGTCAGGTCGTCAGTATCAGGCTGATATTCCCCTGGTGATGATAGCAGAGGAAATGGTACGAGATCCTGAGATATCTGATCAAGTTCCAACACGTCGCACTACAATCAAACAAAATCATTAAATGAACATCCTACTGCTGACCAGGAGTGATGCAGGCTAAAAATTGAAAACGTCTGTGATTGGATAGTTTATGCTGATGTAATGTATACATGTATATACTGAACCTGTACCTGTAAGCCACCATATTGTTGATTCATTGGTTTCCCATCCAGGGTTTTCTCCTTGGATGTGGCTGTAGGTAGCCCAGTGCTTGCAGCATAGTTCTCTTCCCAGGTCTTGAACTGTAATGGAGATACACCTAGAGGTAGAAATATCAAAAGCGCTTATTAGATGTTATTAGATAACATTGCACCTCCTATTACTATCCCCGCCCAAAGAACCACTTTTTTCACAGGTAAGCTGGAGGGCTAGCTATGGCATGTAGAGTCAATGGAGACTGAAAACAAGCATGGACAAATGAAATATTGTCTCGGCCAATTAATGCTGATTGGACAATACGAGTAATGGGACTTGGATCATCTCTTTATTGGTTCTGACCAAAAGTATTGAAGGCTCACAAGACAAGTCAAATAACCAAACATGCACATTAATCATACTGGAAGCATCGACATTTCCTTCTAAACCTTGTTTGAGTAATGATGAAAAGGTAAATTATACACCGTGAGAAGACGAAAAAACTTACTGACATTTCGGACGCTAGTCCTTCGTCAGAGTAAAAGAGAAAGAGGTGGTAGGAAGGAGTGTATATATGATAGAATAAGACAAAAGAAACCAATGAGAGCAAGGTAGGCAAGGAAACAAAAACAAACAATCAAAAGACAAAAGAAAAGGTTAGTTGAAAGTAAAGCGAGTGTGAGAAGTCAAAGAATGCGTTACTTTCTTGCAAGGGACATGTCGTTATAATGAAATAGACCTAACTCCTCTTGGGCGTAATGTTTTTCCCATTTCAGACCATGTGTCAATCTCTTTAGAATATTATTCTTTGTTTGAGTCCATATAAAATATCCATATTCCAGTGTCTTCTCATGTGCAAATGTTTAACAATGAAATGATACCCTCGGGAATGACATGTGTTCTGTAATGAGAAGCATTACACCAAGACGCATTAGGAATGGTCATGTTACCATATTCTTCTGCTCCTTTTAGAAAAGCACCAATGGCTCCCAGATATCCTTCATGACGTAAAAACAATGCTTGCTGAGCATCCTGGGAAACAAAAAAACAACATTTTAGCTTGCAGCTTGCAACTAGTGAGTTCGAAGAATATTGGAAAACTGCAGTAAAAACCTGATTTTATTGATTAAGTTGGGAGTACCAGTGAATACCCTCCTCCTCCTTGAAAACTGTTGAAATGCTTGATACTGGGTGTCTGTGGTGACTACTTCTACATCTTATTCCTTGTTTAGCATACATGCTAACAAACCGTAAAATGATTTCTGCAATTCCACTTTTAGTTGTTGAGACATTTGAGGGCACGTTTCAGAGGTGGTGGGTATGGAGTAACCAGGAGGGAAGGGGAGGGCAGGAGGAAGTGTCAAACATACCTTTGACCAGTAGTTTATTCCATAAGTAAGAGTATGCATAGTAGCAGGGATACCACGAATAAAGTAACCACTGAAAAAGATCTTTTTGATTCCTGACAGACGGGCGTAAAGTGAAGCTATCTATGAGAACAGAAAACAACAAATAGAGAGAAATCTTCTAAATCTTTTATGGAAATAACTGAATCATTGTTTTACTGGTACTTGGCAGAGTGGACAGAGTATCGGCCATTTCTTACCTGAGCGATATCATTACTAATCATCTGCAGTAAACTCTTTGCAATGTCACACTCTGCAAACTTGTGACCTGAAAATAAGGAAAAAAACAAAGCGATTGCTGATGGATCATATTCAGAATTTTTTTCAGACATCATCACATACATGTAACCTATATTTCATTTGGTTTCTTCTACATATTTCTAACAATAATTTATTACCCAAGGTTTTGGGTCTTTGATTAATGCCCAAGCTCATACCACAGGGAGCCCAAGAGGCTGATAAATAAACATCTTCTCACAAGATATTTTCTTTAGTTTGAATACTCTTAAAGTGAACGAAACTAACTCAACTAACCATCTTCTTGCTTGTCGTTACAAGATCTGACTGCTTTGCCAAAGCTAGAAGCTGTTAAGTCAGCCGGTAGACCACTTCCTGTGTATGGCCCTCCATAAATATCCTTTACCTTAGAAATGTAAATGAAGAACCTTATAAAAAGCTGACGTTTGAAAAGTAGAATTAAATACAAAATCATAGCAAAGTTACTTTTAATCAAAATAAAAAACAGTCTGTTGTATATACCAGCACATCCACGTTCTTGTGCTGGCCCTGGGTGGCAAGTTCTAGCAGCTCATCAAATCCCTAAACAACACAACAGCAAAAAAAAAAAGCAAAAAAAAAAAAGAGAAAAGTTAGAAGTAATTTAAGGAGTGAGGAAATGGAAAGCAAAATGGAAGGAGACAGAAAGAAAGCAAGAAAAGGGGAGAAAGGAAGAAGGTAAGTGAGGAAACGAAAAAGGAAAGATGGAAGTATGGGAGGAAGGAAAGAAAGAAATAAAGGAAGGAGGAAAGGAAGGAAGGAAAGAAAAAGATTAAAGGAAGGAAGGAAGGACAGAAATATTAAAAAGAGCTGTAGATTTAAATTCTTAGACAAACCTTGGCTTTTGTCAGCAAGGACCCAAGTCCCCAGAATGTCCCACCTCCCATACTTGTACCACCCACTCTTTGATAATGGTCTTTGGAATTAACCTGTGGCAGAAATAATGATTAAAGACAAAAAAAGCCTTGAAGATGGATACGTAAAAAACCCAAATGGAAATGGAACATGAAAGGAAAGTACTACTAAATAGTTGAAGTCACTGACCCACAAAGTTGACGGCCATCAATCAAACAACTGAAATAACAAAAAATATATATATTGAGGGAGATTTTAGATTGAATTACATACAGATTTTAGTGGATTAGAGAGTGTTACCACGTTTACTTCAGTCAAAAATCTTTCTCTAGATATTGTTTTTTATTTCAGTTGTTTGATTGATGGCTGCCAAAATGCTAGTCAGCAAAGGAGACATCAAGCTTTGCAGGTCGCACTTCACTTCATTGATAATGGTAGTTAAAGGAAATTGAAATCAAAATGATCGCAGATGTTTCTTAATCAGATGGTAGATTTATTTTTGACTATTTTTACTTAGGCAAAACTGAAACTGAAAAGTGAATGAGAATAGGGATGGAAATGGGATTTTTCTATTTCTACCAACCTGTATAATACTAACACCAGAACCAATGTTGACCAGTAGGTAAGGAAAAATTTCATTAGATTCAAGATGACGGAAGACATACTGTGAATCTTCGTCTCTACAGAACTGAAAAACCTCATCTGGGAGAGTCGAGAGAACGAAATTACATCCACGTATTAAGCACTGCATCTCGTCTTCCTTGTCCACCCTTGGAAATCAACAGAAAAATATTATAACAAAGTTGAAATTGATAATTGGGGGAAAGGAAATTATGTAAAGGATGCCGACATGTGGCGAGAGGAATGCAGACTAAAATAATTGAGGTTGATTTTTGTGGGCAGATGTTTGAAGGCATACGGCTATCATGGGACAGATTTTGATAGCCATTGAACAAAAACAAAAGGGTGCTGCATTCTACTGATTTCCATTGTAGTATATGACCCTATAATGAACCTTTGAATGAATTTAATGATTGGTATTTGCAATATACATAGGAGCAGAAGAAAACTAAAAATAGTATTTTTCTCCCAGTAATGAGCTATTTTCACTACACACCTTACACCAAGTTTTGTCGTCAACATATCTTTGTACTTGTGTGCGCCACCACCTGCATAAAAAGATTTTTTTCACTTTTATTGTTTTTTTCACTGAATTCTCCAGTTTTCCTCTCTACACAAAATTTTGATCTGTGAGCTATTAATAGCAGTACCCTGATGACTTTGATCAACTCAAAGGTTAATTCAGAGTATAATTTTAATTAAAGGCTTAATCAGATTGAAATGGCATTCACAATATTGGCCGAGCTTTGAAGAAGAAGGAAAACGAAATTAAATTTTACTATGTTTTCAGCAATTAAACACTACTGTGCTCCATGCCTTACCGTGAAYACCTCTAAAAGTTTTTGATTTGACTTTTTTAAACATCTTTTTGACAAATTTTAATATTGTGCTCTTTGTTGCTAACCAGTTAGACATTGGTGGTTCACCTTGATGTTTTGATAGGCAGAGTTCGTACATCAATGAAATGATATTGAAACATCTAAGTGAAGTACTAAAACGTAATTGGTTAGCGGTAAAGAGCACGATTAAAGTTTATTAAAAACTTGCCAAAAAGATGTCAAAAAGAAATCAAAAACTTGTAAAAATAATTGTTCACRGTAAGGCGGGTATCATAGTAATCAGAGTTGTACGATTAAAGACTGCTGACGGAGTCTTGTCACACCTGTTGCTTTCATGACTTTGACCACATTATCCGTCTTCTCCAACAGGTTTTGCTGAATAAAATCAACACAAGTCTCCACGTATTTTGTTTCAAATTTGATGAAGTGCAGTCTCAGCCCACATTCCTGTTGATCTTTGATCTCATAGATTGGGTTTCCAATTGTCCTTTCTTTATCCTGCAACAGTAATCACCATACATCATTCACTTGAAACCCATGATCCCTTGAACCTCTCTTAGGCATCAATGGACCATTCAGTGGTAATAGTTTCCATGTTGACACTGGAGTTCACACTCTCTCTACAAACCCAGGACTTCAATATCTTTTACTGTCATTGAAATAAATGCTGCTGTCATATACCACCACAGCCGGGTAAGGTTTCAAATGAATCTTGATTTAACAAAATACTTGTTTATTTTCAGTCAGGGAAACTGGGGGAGAGGGGTTATTTTTAGTCAGGGTGTGAGGGGGGGGGGGGGTTATAATAAATATGATCAAGACATACACAAACACAAGCATCAATAAAGCAGTAGATAACAGATTATCTAGGAGGTGAGGGGTGGTGCACACCCTTGCATCCCTCACAGAAAGAAAAGTTTGGTTACACCAAAGCTGTGAGAGCAACATATTTAATAGTTGCATTTATAATTACGTACAGAATCCTCAGAACAAAAGCTTTTTAGTCGTTTTCTCGCATGCTGTACTTCAGACATGTATGCCACCTTTGCCAATGACCCCCCTGAAAAAAAATGTACAGAATAATTAAAACATATAAGTCTGGTTCTTCTGCATGCATCACAAACCTATTGGCAAGGGTGGATCCAGGGGGGGCAAAGAGGGGCTGAAGCCCCCCTTCAGCAGAAAAAAACAACTGAAGAATTAGATGCTTTATTAATTGCTTTCCATTGTGTTGACAGAGAAAACTCAATTAGCCTCCCCCCCCCCCCAACTCAATTAGCCCTCTCCCCAAAAATTTGGCTGGATCCGCCCTTGATTGGTGGTTTTCAACCATTCCCAAGAGGATCAAAAGACAAAGACATGGTAGCCATGCTGGTGGATAGGTGCATAAGGACCTATTAAGAAATCTTTTGTTAAAGTCCACCAGATGACTTAACATGAAAACTTGGGGTCTTTTTGGTTGTTTTTATTAAATCACATAATTAGACTGATTCTGAAGCTACCCAGAGAAGGAGCCTACATCCTGCACGATCATACTAGCATACAAATTATTACTAATCTATTAAAGCCCATTGCCAAGGAGAAATACAGACCATCAAAAGATTTATCATTAATTAGTATTAAAAAATAATATTACTTTGAGTTCATTAGCAAACCATCCATGTTTTGTTTTTAACTCGTTACTATGCCGTTGCTTGTTATTATTAGTACCAATATCTCTTGCTATATGTAATATAGGTATGGTAATTCACACGACGAATCAAAAATAAATAAACAAAATTCAGCTTATTATGAAGAAAACGTTTCGAAATAGATAGCTCACCGATGTCCACGGCAAAAAGTTTAGCATTACTCATGTTACGAAACATCCGCGTAATATCGATGCTTGTAGCGTATCCTGAATGATAGCCATTCTCATTTGAGGCACTCATCTCGGTTACTACCATGTGTCGCTAGGAAGATTCTTTTTTATCAGTTGTTGTCGTCTTGACGCCTGAGTTCGTCCGCCATCTTGGATTATCTAATGACTTGAGCCCGCGATTGGAATGCGATTAAAATTCCCATTTAATTTTGATTTGTATGATTAAACCAAAAAACATTTTTTGTGTTCATATTTACAAGATATCTCAGAATTCCTAATTTTAGGAAAATACGATAATTTTTATTTTGAATTTTTCAATGAAAAGAAAGAAAGAAAGAATTGTAATTGTTTGGGGTTCCTGTGTTTTCCCAGTCCCCCACGTTCTTCTGGGATCGTTTTCTGTTCGTCACACGTGTTGTAAAGTTGACGTTTAGTTTTTAGAAGTTTGAGGATTTTTCTTCTATTTTTTGGCCTTTTTTCAACCGATAAACAGATTATATGCTTCAATAGCAATGTAATACTGTGGAATGCATAAATATTTGGTGGATCAAAACAGCTGATATCGAGAGCTTTAAAAGTTGGTCCAACATTTTTGCCCATCAAAAATTTCTTGTTTTTCAAACATCAAGTTCGTAGTTTCTTGAGTTCGTAAAGTTTTTATCGCAATGGTAGTTTTAAGCTCACTGCCTCCGCCTTCTGAAGGTGTTGACCACGTACAGGCTGACACACAAGCGTTTATAGATGAGAACTGTTTGGGGAATGGTACACTTTATATTGCAAAGGAGTAAGTACACTTTAATTTCGTACGCGATGTTCTTTGTACCTTTTTCATTTTTCATCATAAAATACATTATACAGTGGATTACACCATGTAATATAGCTGCTGTGGTCCAAGGGGATTAGAGTTCCCAAGTGTCTGGGAGGGCTATCTTGTCTGCGAGCATGCTTCATAGGTGAGGTATGCATAGTTTCTGGAAATGCTCAGCTGACTATTAATAAACTATTACTCGTGATATATCCTAAGCCTCTCTTCTGTGCATGAAATTAGAAGAGATGCTGAATGAATCCATTGTTCTGTTGCATGGTTGTGAGGCTTAGGGGGTATTTGTGCATGATTATGCAATGTTTATGCACATGGACAGGCTCTACCAATAATATATCTTTCCTTCCTGTTTTACTCTGATGAAGGAAACGTCAGTACAGTTTCAAACTTCTTTACACAGTGTCTACTTTTCTTTCTTATTCACTTGTTATATTAAACACACCAATGGGTAACCCTAGTTATCAGTTTATAATATTTATAGAGTATATATTTAATATTGTAACTGATGTGTGTACTCTTTTCTAATTTACAGACGTTTGTCGTGGTGTGGTATTAGTGGCCAAGGATTCTCACTGGAATACACCGCCATCGCTGTACATGCTGTTTGTAAAGATATTTCAAAGTTCCCTCATGAGTGCATTTACTGCATGCTTGATTCTTCTATAAATGGTGAGAATCCTATTGGAGATAAAAACAGTCTATTTTTTTGCAATTTTGCAAATAAGCTGCCAATAGGGGATGGGGGTTGCAGGCAATCTAGAACCAATGCCTACCTATATCTAGAAAGAACTTAGCCCACATTGCAGGCATTCCTCGTTGTTTCTGGTTGGGATGGGGCAGGGGGTTGGGGAGAGCACCCCAATCTTTTACATTTAACAAATTACAAGCACGCCCTCTCTTCGAGGCTTAAGTGCTCTTCGAAAATTCTGTTCTATGAATTAATAGTGAGCTTTACTGTAACTACATTTCTATTTTTTTTAGAAACTAATGAAGATGATGAAGATTCCAAAATCAGTGAAGTAAGATTTGTGCCAGAGGACAAAACAAGTTGTAAGTTTGTTTTCCTTGATTTACAATAGCTACATTGCTTCGGGTACAATTATTGTCAGGAAACACAAAGTTTTCCAAAGCAGGTGCCAATGGAATGTCACCAAAATGCCTCGATTGCTGACCACCAAAACCCTAATATTGAAAAAGAGCAAATTCTACAGTTTTGTACGTATGGTTGGGAAGCAGTGTAATGTACGTAACAAAGGTTTTATAGGAGGAAGGAGTATAGTTTATGTTTAGTGTACTGCTAAGAAAAGATCAATAGTTTCATTACTTTCTAACTATATGTCTTTAATTGCAGTGGAGAGAATGTTCAATGTCTTGTCAGACTGTCAAGCACTTCATCCTGACCCACAAGAAGAAGCAGAAGAAGAAATGGCAGGTATGAAGTACTGTCACAATAATGCCAACACAGGTTTACTCAGAGCATACTATAAATTATTACCATAACTGATACTGTTACTTATATGTAACGGTATAGTGACCATGTGTAACAATTGGAAGCATTAAGGAATGGTCAATGCTTAGCGTGTGCATTTCCAGTTCTGGATGCATGCAGGAGGTTGCTAAGCATGAAAGAAGCAAAAGAGTTGCATGAGGCATAGCCAAGTATGACTCTAACTTCTTGAGTGCTTAAGCAACCTTCCGAGTGCATTCAGAACTTGATATACCCACAACTAAGCATTGATCATTGTATTTATTTAACATTTTGTTCTAATGAAATCTTCATTACATAGAGCGTGCTGCTCAATCAGGTCAGCATGCACATACCTTTTTGGATGCATGCTCATGCATGTTAATTAGCCAATTAGAGCGCGCGTTATATCGTGGCTATGTTATAAGTTATGTCAAATCTTATGGCATAAAAATCAACTTTTAAATTCCAATTCGATCATGAAATGAGGGCCAAAGGTCTATGTGATTATATCAGGAACATACATTTCCCACTCTGAACTAGTGTATCATGTTTATTGATTTGATTGCAACATTCTCTCCTTGTCATTACAGGATTTGGAGGAGAATATTTCACAAGTGAAGGAGATGTCAACCTGACTGATGAAGGACAGGTAACAGTGAAGTTCAATTTAACTTTCTAGAGGGGAGGGGAGGGGAGGGGTCACAAAATCGTCTATTTGGTTCCACTTGGTTTTCCAAGTGGCATGATGGTTGTATAAATTAAATGTATAATCTTTAATGTGCAGGCAATACTGCAGCGACTGGAAAACTCCTTTCAGCAATCTGCTGGTCAGGAACCAGTGATGACATCTACAAATGGCAAAGAAACCAATGGTCATGACTGTGCTGATCAAGGTACGTAATTCTAGGATGAAAAGAAAGCTTATCAATGATGGTGATTATTGACAATGATGATAATGATACTGGTGATGATTGATGATGGCGATGATAGTGATCATATTTATATTGTTTATGATTGATGATGACAATGTAAATTATTGATAATCATTGGATGATGATGGTGATATTTTACTTCCAGATGTTGAGATGGAAGATGAAGCAGGTCAGTTTGACGATGCACAAATGTAGAGGTATGATATCGACAGAGGAACATTTACTCTTCAAAAAAAGAAAAGAAAAAAGAAAACATTTTATTCAACAATATATCCTTGATGTATTGATGTAACAAGCCTTTGGATACTACACTATGCCTAGTAACACTATGTAAGTTAAGCCTGGTTCACACAAGCAACGCAAACGCAAGGAATGGAAAATGTTCCATTTTCTTGTGCTTGCGTTTGCGTTTTTAACGTGTGAAACGGAGAAAACGCAAACGCAAGCACAAACGCAAGACGTGGTTCACACTAGCAACACAAACGCAAACGCAAGGAAAATACGTGTGAACTATAAACAAGCACTACTGCGCATGCGTATCTTAATTTACTTGCATTTGTGTTGCATGTGTGAACATTGCTTGCGTTTGTGCTTGCACTTGCGTTTGCGTTGCTCGTGTGAACTACAATGCAGGCTTAAGTTAATCCAATAATAATTATGGATTGTAATGCCAAAGCATTAGTGTTATATTTTTTCAAGTATATATCAAAGTATCCAGTGTAAAATGTTTTTTACATGAAACACTCATGTGTACATTACAACATTAAAAGATGAAGCCCTTTAGCTTATCTGTTGCATTCTTATGCACAGCTGTGCATTGATAGTGGGGAGAACGCTTTTGCACTGTCTGGAAAAATAGACCTAATATTGGTCTTGGGGTAATGATTACCCATTTCAGACCACGTGTCATTCTCTTGAGAATAAGATTCTTTGTTTGAGTTGTATCTATATTCATGTGTCTTCTCATGTGCAACCATTAAACAAAGAAATGATACTCTAGGGAATGACATGGTCCGTAATGGAATTACTGTAGGTCTATAGGTGCGTGCGCAATGACATAATTTTTTGGGGTCAATGGTCATTTAAATCAAGGGTGACAATGAGGAGGTATACATCATTCTGTCCTCTGAGTTCTCTGGTTTGATTCTACATAGCATGCGCACAGGGTTTGTTGCACGCACACCTTATGAGAGACGAAGGCTTGAGTCCTTCGACAGGGAGCCCACAGTTACTTTTTACCCTCACCAAAAGAGTCGGGTCTGACTTTCATCTCTGTGAACTTTAATGACAGGTTATGTCGAAAGGCAGACCATCCAATTCCCCCATAGTCCTTAATGTTACCAAAGTACATCCCATTTAGATTAGATGCATGGCAATTATTGTACCACCAGCTGCCTGTCAGGTCAATAGCGCACGCATTTCCTTTCCACCTGTCGTTGTCCACATCTTTAGTGCTGAATAACATATTATTATGGTAGTATAACGAGTCCCCAGCACTACCTGAGTAGTCACTCACTGTCAGTCGGTATTTTTTCATCTCACTTTCCATTCGGAACCTTGCGTAGTTGGCATACACTTTCACACCGTCCCAGTCCTCCATGTCAATTCGAAGGGAACTCTCAGTCGAAGCAACAAGACGGTTAATTTTATCATTGCCCAACCAGAATTCCCCTTCCAGATTCCCAAAGCCAAGTTTGTAGTCTTTCCATGTGCGATAGAAGTCGGTGGTTCCGTCGCGTCTTCGTTGGAAGACAGTCCATCCACCTCCATTGGTCTCCATGTCGCAGTAGACTTTGAAGGAGCCCTTGTCATCAGGTGTGATGGTGTAAACACCGTTCTTTCTGATTCCTGCCATGTACAAGTCACCACAGTCTCTGTCTATCGAAAAATAGGGAAAATTGTTTTAATTTAAATCAAAAAATAAACTGCTCCCTGAGTACTGACGGATTTGTGAGTTAGCCATGACCTTACTTTGATCAGCCCAAAGATTGTTACAGGGTTCAACGTGAGAGTTATCTGTGCTCTGACTTGGATTAGCCTAGCGGAGGTTGCCGATTTTCGGGTTCGATAAAATTTGAATGTTTTCACTTCACTTACACCTTTACAAAAACTCGTCGTAATATTCACTACCCTCCCCTCCCGTGTTATCTTCGATAACCTTCTTAATTAACGACGTTGGACTTGTCCTAATACTCACTTGGTGGCGGGAAAACACACTGTTTATGACAAGAATCTGAACAGCACTTCTTTCCTTGGATACAATCTTGATCCAGTGTACACTCATCCCGGGTGTTGTTAGGACACGGGCCAATCGGCAGTGGTATCGGACAGATACCGGGCTTGATGCCCCCTGGAATACAGACATACAAAGATAAATAAGCTAACAAACGAACCTATAGGCAATGTAGCTGTATGAATAATAGACGAAGGTTTTAATTGGGTCTCAACTTACTTGTGACAACACTTAGCCTCAGTGTGGCTTTATTCTTAAAAATGCCTCCATCGGTGCTCAGCTCACATATGTAATCACCACTGTCCGATGTCGTTACCTGGGTGATAGACAACGTGCCGTTAGGGTCCACGTTGGCACGGTGATCGAACAATAGCCCATTCCTTCGCTCCCAAGACACGACCAATGTCGGGTCGTATCCACTGCATTCAACATGCAGGATGTCTCCAGCAAAGAGAGTAGCATTGGTTGGTGGTTTACTACGGAATTCTGGCAGGGAAGCCACAACTATCTGCGTGACAGCTTCGGTTTTGCCGATCTCATTCTTGGCTTGACAGACGTATAAACCAGAATCAGAACTCTGTGCATCCCATATCATCATTTTGTCGTTCTTCTTGAAGATTCGCTTTTGTGGGATTTCACCATAGACCTTGGTCCATTTGATGGTGGGTGTTGGATAACCCTCGGCTATGCACTCTGGTAGCTTGATCAATCCTCTTTTCTTGATGAAAATTGGGCCTTGGAAGAACGACTTGATTCTGGGGGGCGCTTTAAAGCAAACAAAAAAATAAAGCAAAGCTTTTATCGATGATGATGTTGTTTTATGATGACGGTGGTGTTAACAGATGATGATGATGTTAACAGACGATGGTAATGTTTTATGATGACGGTGGTGTTAACAGATAATGGTGGTGTTAACAGATGATGGTGGTGTTAACAGATGATGGTGGTGTTAACAGATGATGGTGGTGTTAACAGATGATGGTGGTGTTAACAGATGNTGTTAACAGATGATGGTGGTGTTAACAGATGATGGTGGTGTTAACAGATGATGGTGGTGTTAACAGATGATGGTGGTGTTAACAGATGATGGTGGATTTAACAGGTTAAGGTGGTGTTAACAGGTGATGGTGGTGTTAACAGATGATGGTGGTGTTAACAGATGATGGTGGGGTTAACAGATGATGGTGGTGTTAACAGATGATGATGATGTTTTATGATGACGGTGGTGTTAACAGATGATGGTGGTGTTAACAGGTGATGGTGGGGTTAACAGATGATGGTGGGGTTAACAGATGATGGTGTTGTTAACAGATCATGGTGGAGTTAACAGATGATGTTGGTGTTAACAGATGATGGTGGTGTTAACAGATGATGGTGTTGTTAACAGATGATAGTGGTGTTAACAGATGATGGTGGGGTTAACAGATGATGGCGGTGTTAACAGATGATGGTGGTTATAACAGATGATGATGGTGTTAACAGATGATGGTGGCGTTAACAGATGATGGTGGTTATAACAGATGATGATGGTGTTAACAGATGATGGTGGTGTTAACAGATGATGGTGGTGTTAACAGATGATGGTGGTGTTAATCCTTCGCTCTGCCTCGGATGTGTAAAATACATACCTTGTACCAACAGCTCCACAATTGCTTCTGCTAGACCAAGATAGTTCCTTGCAACACATTCATATTCTCCACTGTCTTCAAACCTGGTCTTCAATATCTTCATCTCGCCTCTAGACGTGAACAGGTACCTTTCTCCAGTCAGCGGTTCTCCATTTCGACGCCAGTAAACCGATGGTTTTGGGGTGCCTTGCGTCGCACATATGAATACAGCAGTGTTATTTTCCACTATTGACATGATCGTAGGCGTAGCTATAACTTTTGGTGAACCTTGCTGTCTTTCTGGTCCACTGGAGGCTACCGAGTAACCAGGTTCGCCTTTGTCTCCTTTATCCCCCTTTTGACCAGTTGTACCGGGTACTCCCTGTGCACCTCTGTGCCCGGTGCCTCCTCTTGGTCCCGGAGGCCCCGGGGGACCTCGGACGCAAACCTTTCCTTTAGGAGTATTACAAACTCTTGTGCTCTCAGTACGAATGCTTTCAAACAACTCTTCAAATTCGCGTCTTAAATCACTTAACTCTTTAGCTTGTTCAATTTTTGTGACAAAGTTTGAACCAGAAGTGTCCCCGTGGATTGTTTTTGGAGTTACAGTGACCTCTTTTGAAACAGGTTTCTGTGATGTTTGTCTACTCGATTCATTGGTCGGTGAATCAACTCCTTCGCCTAGTGATCTATCAACGCGTCTTTTAGCTGCAGCAGAATCTAAATACAGAAGGAATTCATTTTTAAGGAATATTTTGCTTATCAACCTTTTAAAACATTTTTCGTGTTTTTACGGTAGTTTTAGAAAATTCAGATCATGCGCAGTCTCGCATAACGTGAAATTTAGCTTGCGCAACCTCGTCCTCAGTCAACGCGGTAGGCTTTGGGGACGAGAGTGCCCCTGCGCTCATTGGCTCAGTTGCACTCTCGCAGGAGGTACATTTGCGGTTGCGCAGTCTTCACACATTCACCAAAGTCTGCGCACCACGTGTCCTATTGCCCCTCGCACTGTATCTGGTCAATATCTTATAAGGCGATCATAGGCGAGAATGAGCGAATTGAAAACTTGAGTACAGTGGCGCACGTGAATGACATTGATGTGGACAAGAATAACAGTAACCTCTACATAGTTTAATTTTAAACTTCACGTTAATTTTTCTGATTTCTATAAACTTGGCATATATCAGTCAGTGATAGACTGAAGCCATAACGACATCAAACATGCCGCGTCTGAAGTTATCAGGGTCGCGTAAACGCGCTGGAAGTGCTGTCTTGACTCGCTTAAGTTCTTGTTACTAAGCAAATGTCAAAGTGGCCGGTAATGACAACACGAGAGCACCTCTACAAATTAGATTCGTACTTCTCCTTGGTATGGGTATATTTAGTTCTTTGTCTATGAGTGCTACTTAACTTAACCATCACGATACATGCATTACGATAATACCTTGTTTTCCCTGGTTTGCTCTTGGTTGACGTCCTTCAAGATCTGTCAATCTTTGATTCAATGTGTCATACCTTTGCTCTTGTCTCGTGAGATGGAGTTCGATACGTACAAAGGCGAGGAAGACAAACGCTGACATAATGATAGCGAGAACTACGAACGATAACCAGGCCAGACTCCATTTCTGCTGTGCCATTCTTGGCTAGTACACTAGTATGTTAAAAATTATGGGCAAATCCCCGGCTTATTTAGATTCTCTTGTGCCTTTGGTGAGTGAACACACTAAAGGCTACAAGGATATGAAACCGTCTAAACGTTAACAAATCTTATCAAAAGCAAAGTGATAAACATCTATTAATTTTGTTAAAAGAACAAGGCCTTTGTTTCGGGGTATTTGACTGATTATTTACGTAAGAACGTATCAAGTATCGAAATGAACTCCTTGTGACCCTCCCCTCCCTTGGGAAGTAGGTTTGATTTTTTTGTTGGTCTCCCTGTGGTTACATGAAACAAGTCGTGACATCGGAGTCGTGACATCAAGATTACCGTACCAAGACAGGAAAACGAAATATTCGAATAAATTATGAACATAACATATGACCAGTCTCACCAGATTTAAGATTTAATTTCACAGTCGTAAAATCTCGAAAATATTTGAATAATCGTTAGACTTTTGAGCTGAATTTCACTTTGAAGGACATCAAATGGATTTCTACACCGTGACAGGGCAATATCAGTTTTATACCCAAGGCAGTTTATAGATCAGTACTAACCATGAACCAAGGTTTACAGCGCTGGATAACTTTTCTAGGTCTCATGGCCGTTTCTCTTATAACAGAAGCAAGCTTAGGTAAGAAATTGTTATCAAATACACTGATCTTTCACGATCTTTAGTACTTGAACATGATCTGAATCATGATCTGAAGACAGAAGTGAATTCATTAAAGTAATAAATTGAGATCTTTTCAGGACTGAATGTAAATATTATGCTGATAAGAATAATTTCAAAACGGAATATAGTTCAATCAAAATATCTTATATCATTTATGAAACCATATTCTTTATTGAAATCAGAAACTCGAATATTAAACACAAGCTAAAAGCGATATACAAGCGTCTGTTTTGACAACAACATATTGAATGAATTAGCATAAATATTTCATGCAGTGAACCGGCCAAAATTCTACTCACTCTTCCCTCCTCAGTAAAAGGAGGAGGCGAGGACTCGTTTGTATCTATATAACCGACTAGTTGGATTTTTAGTCAAATCCAACAAGTCGGTAAATATATAGATGCAAACAAGTTTTGAGTTAAAGTTCAATTGAATGTTTTGGTTTTCAAAGCCGGCACTTTTCGCTACTAGTGGGTAAGGGTGATATATAGTAAGATATTTTTTCCTAGGGGAGTGGGGTGAGTGGAGTGTTTGTTCTCGGAGCTGTGGTGGAGGAACTCAGACAAGGAATCGCACATGTGCTGGGTGTGTTGAAACAAGAACATGTAACGAAGATCGTACTTGTAGAAGTAAGTACATTGATGACTTGTGTTGAACGAGTTTTTTGAAAGTGGATGGATGAAAAGGTGAGCGAAAGGAAGTGGAGAACAAGGAAGGGGGTAATAGAGGGAGAATAGGAAGGAAGATGAAAAAAATCACGAATATATGAAGGACAAAAGGGCAAACGAGCAGATAATAAGAGAGGAAAGATGAAAACGTAATAAGGAAATGAGAAACTGAAAAAGTAAAAGTGGTCAGAGAAAATAAAAAGATTCATTACAAATAAAAAGAATGGATAGATGGGAATGATTTTTTTTTTTTTAACTTCTAGTCATTTTCTAATCAGTAATATCTAGTATTTCGTTTAACTGACATACAGTAGGCACAACAGCGATGATCGGGGTAGCTGTGGGAGTCAGTATCAGCATCTCTACAATCATTATTGTCGTCCTTGTTGGTATTTTCTTCGTTAAAGAGAAAAATGAAAAGAAAAGAGCGAGAAGCACCTATAAAAGGTAAAACTGTAATGGACCTTCTGATTCCTTCCTTCCTTCCTTCCTTCCTTCCTTCTTTCGTTCGTTCATTTCATTACATTTCTTTTTTATTTCATTTCATCCTTTATCTTAGTTCTCTGGTTGAGAGCACCCCGGGAGTATCTCGCAGAACCCGCACCTGCACCGTTGACAGCAACCTCGACATCAAGTTGAACGTGATTCGTCAAGATAATGACTCCCAGGCCCAAAGAAGCAGAGTGTGCCTGGTAACGAGTACATAACGAACAGCCTGGAAGCTCATTGGTTACTTCGACCAGCCAAGACTGAAGCCAGATGATGATGATGATGATGATGATATTCAAATCACATATAAGATGATATTGCATTGCTCATTGGAGACTATGTATGACTTAACAAGTTCGAAATAAGCCTCACTTGGCCGATGAATGAGAACAAAAGATATGCTGTTGAGCCTATTGTTTTACCGCATCATAGTGAGGCTTAGTATTTATTATCTCGTATTACTTATGCATTGGATATTATAATAATTATATTTTATGAAATAATTGTGAAACATACAAAGTATTTTAAGATGATGATGGTGATACATCATGGTGAAAATTGACGATGATGACGATCAATGATGGTGATTATAATAATGATGGTGATGGTGATAATGGTGATGAAGATGACGCATGCTGGCGATGACGATGACGATAATAACGATGATTCTTTGATGGTGATAATGATAGTATTATGAGTTGTAATAATGATTAATTATAATAATATTAATGATATTTATTAAAAGAGGATCGGCGTCAGATAAACGCACTTGGCCCCCTGTGTTCAATATATCTAATGATTCTATGATACGTGGACATCTGAGCGACTGATGTTTAGTCAGATAAAAACATGATTGTAAACAATAAAGTTATAGAGCGCATGCAGTAAAACCATGAAATAAAAACAAAGTTGATACGGACAAATAGTACTATTTAGTAACTTTGTTTTTATTTCATGATTTTACTGCATGCCCTCTACTCGTTTTAAAAACTTGAAGAGTGTACAGAATATCGGGTTGGAAGATAATACTGATAAATAAACTTTAATCGACTCAGCCTTCATCATCGAGTGTTTTTTGATTGGACGGTGCAATATTACTTCCAGTTTGATTGATTTGACAAAAGCCATTTAAGTGTCGATGTACTGACATTTACCATCTAATTTACCAATACCTCAAAGAGGATGAGATAAAATGGAGAGATAATTAACGTCTTAGCACGTACACAAAACAATCTTGAAATGTCAATATTGAATCCAGAGGTGCACTCGCTTCTCAACTTTGTGATTTCCAGACTTGGCATTGGCACAGAGTCCTTCCTTGATTCACGTCCGGGTTTTTCTCTAGGTTAACGCACTCGATATCATAAAGTGTGAGTCGTGTGATCAGTCCAGAGGTTGTTTTGGGGTTCGATAAAAAAGTTAAGAGTATTCTTGAGGACTAGATAGAAAACTATCTCTTTTTAGTACCGATAAATAAATGATAAACAGACTACTCACTCTATCCAAAGTCGGCAATTTTAAAAGCATGCAGCAAGAACATTGCTTTTTGCCACCTTGAACGCACATGCGCGATAGGGATTTGTCTTATCTTCTTCGACATCTAGCCGGAAAATTTAAAACTGTTTTTGACTTAAGTTTTAATTCCAATGCATAGAGTAAAAAATCTCGTCAACGGCAAACGTGAAACGTCAGTTTACTAGCAAAATTTTCTTTAAAATATTAGAAAAAGAATCGCAAAAAAAAAAATCCAAATGGTCAATAAATGAAACGTTTACTTGTCTTTGGTGAGAAGGCTTGCAAAAGGTAAAGTGAAATGGGAAACGATGAAAAATCGGTCACGTCTGCCGTTTGCGCGGGAAGGAAAATTGTGATTCTGTTTTTTGATTACTTTAATTTAGGGCCATACTTCCAGACATCGAGTGCTGAACCGTCGTATGGCAGCGCGAAGCATTTACGGCTACGTCGGAGATTTCGACCCCGACACCGCTATCCGAGGACTTACAGACTGATTAGGAAGCTCGGCCGAAGCCTAAGGGAGAGGTTAGTCGGCCCCTAGACAGTAGATGATTAACCCCCTGCTATGACCAGCAGGCCCGGCTTGTCGGTAGTGTCGCTGATGACTACTCACCCATAGTCACACTTTTCCATGTGGGACGCGTTTTGGACTATGAACCTAGTCATGAGGTATCCTTTAGGAAGTCAAGTCTGCCCCCCCCCCCCCCCCCCCCCCAAATATCTATATCTACATATATGTCAACTAAGGATGGCTTATTCTTCCTTTGATATGAAAAGACCAGAGGATTCGACTCACCAAACTGCAACTATATGTATTGGCCATTCTGAAAAACAATCCAAAAATGCATCGCAATGCCAACTCGACCCACTTTTTTACACAGTTAATCAGCTCTATTTTCTCCTCAACCCGCTGACCGCCTACTTAGCTGCCTAAAGACAACGAACCACCAGTCATGTGACTGGGACCGAACATATGAACATGACTACTATTACTACTACCACGTGTCGGCACGAAAACCTGTCATCAGCCATCATGATAAGGAGCTGAGTACGTGTTGTATGAGTAGGCATTACTGAATATCTCTAGTATTAATAGCCGTAATTACAAAAGAAATCGTAGCTGCTAAAACCATTCACACTTTTGATTGGAGATCAAAATGGCTTATTGTGATCTTGGTGTTAATGGTGGGAATTGTCGTAACGGAACTCTAAAGACGTGACCTGAAGTCTTAAAGTAATGGCCATAAATAAGTTCATTTGTGTGATTGTCTGTGAGAAAGCTAATGGCTTATCACCACCCACTAAAATAGCGTGGAGGTCTTAATTAGAAAGTAAACGACAAAGTTTTTATACCGGAAGGTCGTAGACGTGACCGAGGCAAAGACGCTTTGATTTAGGGCGGTAAAAATTACGTGTTCTAAGGGTCAGAACTCCATGGAAGACAAGCAAAAGAGCAGTCGGTGAATGACGGCAGCTGGCCTCGGGAAGAATAGCTTGAAACATTTATAAACTACGTATAGGAAAAACTCACTATTTATGACGTCAATTATATATGTCGGTAGATAATTTTGGCTTTTACCCGCCCTCACCTTTCAAACAATTTCAGTGAAAGTTTTTAACTTCCATGAGAAACAGCTTTTGCATGAACTAGCAAATTTCGTCTAGATGGCTCCATGAAAAATTTGTTGAAGATTTTGAAGGGTTCGAGAGAAAAAATCGATTTTGATTACCATCGTGTGTCATTTGAATGAACCTCCCATAAAATAGATTAGAATCATCATGTTGTAGGGTAGAGATGCCTTGAAGAGCGTTCATGGGCCCCTCGAGGCTGGTTCGATAGTCATTTGATAGAAATATCCCTGATAATAAATTAGGGCATGGTGATGAAATGTTTTGAAATATATATCAACTGGAGTATGTATACAGTTGTTCATAGATACAAGCCCTCGGCAATCTAAGATAAAGAAGTTATTCAGTTGTATATTAAAAATTCAGTCATCTCATACAAGTGCCAATCCCTCTGCACATGCACAGCGCACGCGAGCGTATATACCGATCGAGTTCAATGAGGTTACTGTTTTCGCGCCAAAACCAGAGTATATACCGCCTGTTTGTTTCCTTTGCAACATTTATCAAAAAAAACAACAAGTGAAGAAATGAGCTTTGATATGAACTCTAGAAATGGCCGGGAGATAAACGCTTAAGAGGGAAATTTCTGGTTCCTCCGTGGTACGCCTTTAAAAACGTGCTTGATCTCATGCCCTCGGTAAGAGATTCATTACAACAGGGCATATATGACTACGTACGTACCCGATATCTACAAAAAGACAGCCATTCAACCATTATAGGAAATAAATAAACAACCGTATCTGGGGTTTTCGTCAGAATTCACTCTTCCGTTGAGTGAAAAACTGAACCGCCCTATCTCGCGTTACGTCAAAACATAGACAAAGCTCACCTTTTTCGCTTTAGCTTTAATTTTAAAAAAGTTCCAGTTGAAATCTAAAAGCCAAGCTGTTAACTCATAAATGGAAGAATGACTAGTTATTCAAGTTGTTATGCAAAAATCGCGTGATGTATGTCAAGTGGTCGCAACAGAATTTCACAAAACATTACAGCATACTAATGTGAAATAATAGTCGGTATATTATTATTTATATTTGAGTATATTTTTATTGGAATAGTAAATATTATTTGGGCAATTCAGAAGTGTTTTCATGTCTCAGTTTGTGTGACAAAAACAAAAATATCACTCAGTTTTCAATTGAAATCGTTATCGTCTCGTTCTAGTTATTGGTCAAATCGAATCACGCGATTGCTTGTCTTTCTGATTCGTATAAACGAGCCATTTCAAATAGATCTTTCTAGAAACAATCATTGCTTTCAATTTATTCAATAATTCCAGTTAATAATAATGCTCATTTACAATGTGGATTTTGATATCACTGAGAAGTACGACAAAATAGCATCTTTGAATCAGTAGTGGTAGCGAGCACCAAAACTGAACAAAAGACTGAGTTTCGTAAGTTTATAGTTGCGGTTTTGGATAGTTACAGCTAATCCATCAATGAGGCATCAATAATGACAGAGGTTGAGAGTAGTTGCTAGAGTGACCTACTACCGTGAAAAAATGAACTCGAAAAAGACTTATCTACAAGATGCCCATTGATTATGTACAATAAAGCATTCGCCTACTTTCTAACTAAGTGCTAGGGTGATATTATGCGCTCGCAACGTCCATAATTTAGGTTTTCAGGGGTTTTCAATGGGGCACTAGTTTCATTTGGGTCACTGAGCAACTTGCAATAGAGCTCGCACTGTTGCTAGTCATAACACACTGAAATTTGCGGCCTGACTATGATGCTAGGCTTGTTATGTCATCATTTTGTAATACTGAATTTTCTTTAAGATATCAAAATTATATATTGTTTCTTTTTTCATTGTTGTTTTCGTAAATCTGATTTCTATTTTACTTTTATCTTTAATTTTGCAGCACTCGCCCCTGGCTGACGATCAAAATATTGTCCCCTTTGCAGACTTCAATTCGAAGTCACCATATCAAATGAACTTATTTTTCACTTATCATTTCAATCGATCAAACTTCAATGTTCGCTGAGAAGCACTGCTGTAGGACTCACATCAAACACTGATATATCACAAAATCTAGAGCAAAGACCATTCCCCCGAAATTGTCGAAATGATTTTTATCATCAAATCACACCAATAAAAAACAGCGAATCTAGGGTTTCTAGCGGAAGTTGGAAGAATTATTTACTTAGTTCGTATAGAGAATTAAACACTCTCTTTGGATTGATTTTATAGGAAATATCATACCACGTACCACCTCTGACTTACTATCTGCGTTCACAAGATCAACCGAAGTTGTTCTTACCAATGAAAACACCTTTTCCTTACAAAATGACAACACAAGTCTCTTTTTAATTCACTTTTCCACCGCTGAAAGTACGAGTGACGTAAATCGTTTGGTCACTTCCACAGACCTCCACATGATCGTGTAATAGACAGCTGTTAGAATTGATCAATTTTTTGGCTCACTCACTTTGAACAGCAGACCCACTACCCAATATTTCATTCCCGTTTTTATCTGGTAAACACATCGAAAAATAATCCAATTGCGCGAAGAAAAGGATATAGGAAGTTGTTGGTTTGTTTTCGAAATGAAAGATTAAAAGGATATTTTTTTAATCTGGTATTTTATTCGCTCTTTCAGAGACTGTTTCTACGCCTTCCCCTACCCCTTCCCTACTAGTGATACTAGACATGCGCAGATGGGCTTCTTTCCCGAATATGCAATAATCATGCAAAGATGGCGGCGAAACCGAGGACTCACAGCCGCCATGGAAGTGTGGTGCGAATTGGCTTCTATAACATTGAAAAAACCATCGGAAAAGGAAACTTTGCGGTGGTTAAGCTCGCTACACATTATATTACAAAAGTTAAGGTACATTTGCTGGAATTTGGTCAATATTTTTGGGAGAAAAGCGATGGGTTTTAGCAGTGTATTGCAGTCGTTAAGCAAGAGTTTCCCCCAGACACACTAACATAACGAATGTTTCCGCTATCTTTTTTTCTTTTTTTCTTTCCATCTCTTGACGCTTAGCTCTACAAGGACCGAATATGTCCGTAAACTGAGCGGAGTTAAAAATGGTTTAAAAGTTAGGCTGAAAATGTTTTTTGTTCTTGCTATTTTAGGTAGCTGTCAAAATCATCGATAAAAGCCAACTAGACGAAGACAATTTAAAGAAAGTCTTTCGGGAAGTTCAAGTCATGAAATTGGTGGATCATCCGAATATTGTTAAGCTACATGAGGTGAGTCTAGCTCTTTCGGGCTTAAAGCTTTCGAAAAATTAATAACTGTTGTTGGGAAGAAAACCATTGAATTGTGCGGCCAAAGTTTTCTAGTTTACGGTCGCGTCTTGTTTGTTACAAAAAAAATTATTTAACTACATGGATACAGTTATAATTTTATTCTTTACTCTTTGCTCAGCGAAGGAAAAATGGCTTTTACCGAGGCTCTATGTCTTGTGGTATAAAACATTGGCAGAGACTTTACGATGTTTTTAAAATCCAATGCAATTTTGAAACATAAACAGTGGATCTACAGTATACTTGTATTTTTTTTGTCTGGCTTAAGTTTTTCATTAAAGATCTCGGTTGAAAATCAAGGACGAGAAACATGCTGAATCGATCGAAATGTCAGAGAGTTTTTTTTTCTCTGTCATTATGTTATTATTTAATATATGCTTTCTTGTGTTGTGTGATTGTATTTACATATACATACACATGGTTCATACCCGACCATTTTATTCTATGTTAAGGCAAAGAATCAAGCAAAAATAATCCAGTGTTGATTTTAAAATGTTGCTTGTTGATTGTTCTAATGTGTTCACACGAAGATTTCGATTTACAAGTATATTTTAAAATGATCCGATATTGGAGGTGATTTGGCGGAGAAGAAATAAGCGTTCGGGCTTGTAAATGATTTGTTGTTTTCTGTGTCGTAACTTGGCGTGAATATTTCAATTTCATGCGTGACTTGAGCTTACTTTATTTTTCTCGTTCTGGTTCTCTCTCTCTTTTCCCACCGATCTTGCTATGCTTACTCTCATTTTTGCCTTTGGTTGACTGGTCTCACCTTGTTTCTTTAAATGTCACTAGTATGTTTGTTGCATCTTTCATCACCAGAGCGGAAAAGTTACAAATTTTTTATTCCAACTATCTCCAGACTATAGTTACTGATAATAATTTTACCTATCCATTCAATATTAATCCATTTGTGAAGTATTTGATGGTGGTGGAAAGAAATTTGAGACAAAAGGGAAAAAATGGAATTATTTCAAAACGATTCGAAATTCCCATTCCAGTTTTTCTATTGTACCATTTCATTATGTTTGTAATGAGTCACTTCAAATCTTTTATATCCTAAAGTATCTTTCTTACTGACTGCTTAATTCATTATTATTATTATTATTATTATTACTATGATTATTTCTTCATGTTTTACTGTCAACATGTGTCTATTCCCACCTCACAATGAATACTCTGTGAACTCAATATGTAATGAGATACTGTATTGAGGCAATTTATTGTATATGACAAAGTTTTGCTTAACCTTCTGCTGTAGTACCAGGCAAGCTTCATCGTCTTGCACCATAGTATACACACACATATATATATATATTCATTTATCCCTCTTCACTCCTTATGTTATTCAATCTAAAACAAAATATCTTGGTTATATTCTGGTAGTAGTTCAGATAGCTTCGTAAGAAATCATATGATTCATCCATTATTCATCCAACCTGTATCTTCAGATTTTGCAATGCAAGTTTTACCAAATATCTGAATAATTTAACACAAGTAAGATTATCTGTAAAATCTATGCAAGCTTTGCAATTTTGAAACAAACTTCTGGTTGAGAATAGTATTCAGAATTTTAATATCAAGATAAAGTATTATTTGTAAGCTAAGATTGTAGCAAGTATTAGCAAGTATTCATTCTATAAAAAGAAAGTAATTTTTCTTTCATTCCTTTTCGATATTAGAAATCCTCATAATGTTAATTTAGATAATTATAGGTATTAGTCAGGTGTTAATTCCATTGATTTTGATGGAGAAAAATATTCGGTTTTGATGGTAATAATAAGTAAAATGTATATTGTGTCTGTTTTGTTTATTTCCTTTAGCAAAATATTCCCATTGAAAGCATTTCAGCAAAGATTTTCCCTGGATCAATAAAAATGACGTTATCATCCTTTAGCAAAACGAAATTATTGAAAATCATTTCATTTTCTGTATTTTTAGTTTTTGTATAATTATTTTTGTATGCATGTTTGGTGTGTTTTGTTTAACTTTACTAATATATTGAAGCTTAATTAATACGTAACACAAATTGAGTAACACTGCATAGCTGGTCACTTCCTCAGTTAAGTTAGTAAAAGTAAAAGTTTCACTATGGAGCTAAACTCCATGTGATATGGTTGATTACTGGTATTTCCTTTATCCAATTCATGACAGATGTTTGGATCCATTCCATAACAAAAAATATGAATAAATTTTACATTCAGTTTAGGATTAAGACATTTGAACTAGATGATAACTGGAAGTTAGAATATTTGCGCACAGATAAAAAAAGATACCCCTTTGAATAATAGTTGATACATAATGTAAGTTTGAAACAGCATTGTGAGTACTAAGTTGGTCATACAAATAGCTGCAAGAACATAAGTTTTGGTCATGCAATTAAAAATTGAATTTAATGTTATAATCAATCTTGTACAGAATCTTCCTGAGTAACTCTAACTTTTAATCGATCTTTCTTATTTCTCTTGTTTATATAAGTTTACACTTTAACTTTTAAAGAAACTTTAACAACAAACTTTAATCTTTACTACGAAATTTAGAAGAAATATTTCACGTGAGAGAGTTTGAGCAGCCGACTTTTTTCTGACTTTGAGGTGTTTCGAAATCGGAGGAAGAACTCTCTCAAGTGTTTCAAATTACTTCTCAAACTCATGAATATTTTTTGGAGAAAATCAAAGAAAAAGTTTACGAAATTTAATGCAAATTAAGAACACATTTCCAAACCACCGTCACAGTAGTGATTTGCTTTGTTTTCTCCTCATTAAATATTCATGAGTTTTAGAACAATGTGTGACGCTGGCATTTATCATTACTAAATAAGGCTTTATAAGTTTTACAATATGGTTTCAATATAATATGCATTGCTTAGTCTTTGGGATTTTTATTCTTTCTAAAAGGAAGCTCGATAAACCTTATTTGTCTTGGTGTAATGTTTTCCCATAACAGACTGATCTCAAGAGTATCATTTCTTTGTTTGATGGTTGCGCATAAGAAGACAATGAATATAGATACAATTCAATCAAAGAATCTTATTATTTATGGAATGACACACAGTCTCTAATGAGAAAACATTGGAGCAAGACAAATAGGTCTATTTCCACTCTCTATAAGTACCACAGGGGGGGGGGGGGGGGGGGGGGGTACTCCCCTATATTTGCTATACGGGTATGTGTCACCAAACAGGGTATGGTTTTCAGCAATTCTACTCTAGAACAGGGTATATAATATCGTGCTCGTTCTGGAACAGGGTATATGAAATCACGCTCCCCCATCTCTGGAACAGGGTTTTCAGCGATCTTGCTCTGGAACAGGGTATGAATTTCAGCGATCTTGCTCTGGAACAGGGTATGAATTTCAGCGATTTTTACTCTGGAACAGGGTCAGGGTTCAGAGGGCCCAGTGGCACATTCCTACCCTAAACGGGCAAGAGTACCCCCCCCCCCTTCACAGGCACATGATGCATTGTTGTTGAGGTGTAATTAATTAATAGATTGTCAATGGAAGCACACCTTTAATACCTACTTATAGGCAAAAGTTGTTAGTGTTCAACCAATGAAGGATTTATGGGAACTTTTTATATTTCTCACCAGGTTATGGAAACAGATCGAATGCTTTATCTAGTCACAGAGTTTGCCAGTAAAGGAGAGATATTTGGTGGGTATATATAATTTACTCCAAGTTAGTCAGTGTACACTATACAAAGATAATGTTGATGATTGATGTGAGGTCCATTCTATTCATGTTTCTCTCGTAGATCATCTAGTGGCACATGGCAGAATGCACGAGAGAGAAGCACGTCAGAAGTTCAAGCAGATTGTATCAGCCATTGATTACTGCCACAAGAAAAATGTTGTTCATAGGGATCTTAAGGTATGATAGACCAAGTTTGTTGTTTATAGAAATATGAAGATATGATAGATGAGCTCGGCCTGTCGTAAATTTGCAAGATGTCTGGAGCCATCTCCATTTCATTTCGTTTCATTTCCTTTATATTCAGGCTGAAAATCTTCTACTTGACGAGGATATGAATATCAAGATTGCTGGTTAGTTTTCTTTTCACTTTCAATTACCATTCAATTTGTTGCTAGAACTGTGAACTGTACAAATTGAATCCTGTTAGTAAGTTGATGCTATAAATGTTGTTATTAGTAGTGTTGTAATTCTTGTTGCTGTAGTTAGTAGTGTCGTTATCGTAGTGTTATAAATTAAAGTGTTGTTAGCAGTGCCATTGTTGTAGTTGTTGTTGTTGTCTTGTTGTTGTTGTTATTGTGTTACAAAAGGAGTTTGATTCACTCTCAATCATCATCCTAGTTAGTTTACTGACTACTCAATAAATCTTTCATCAGATTTTGGGTTCAGCAATATTTTCCAGCCTTCGAAGAAACTGAAAACCTGGTGTGGCAGTCCACCCTACGCTGCACCCGAACTGTTTGAAGGGAAGGAGTACCTAGGACCAGAAGTAGACATCTGGGTATGTCACACCTAGCCTGAAATACATGTTTTTATTTTCTGCTGGGTAATGCATTTCCCTCCCTAGACGACTTGAGAACTTATTTCTGCTTGACAATGGAAATGATGCAATTTGTGCTGGGCAGTGTGCAAAGAAACTGTATGCCATTCCATGTGGTTAATGGCAGATGCCCAACAAGACGAAAAGAAAAAAATATTACCAATGATATTAACTGAATGTTTTGGTTTTATCTTTTGATTACAGAGTTTGGGGGTTGTGCTATATGTTCTGGTATGCGGTGCCTTACCTTTTGATGGTAGTACGTTACAGAGTCTTCGATCACGTGTTCTTGATGGACGGTTTAGAATTCCATTTTTTATGTCAACAGGTAACACAACAATTGTTTGCTTTCTAGTTGATTAGGAGTGGTCCATTGGTCATGGGATGGTTCATCAATAATTGGTTGGTTATGTGCTGATTGATCAATTAGTTGTATCCTGGTCGGTGGGCTTGTCAGTGGGCTGATAAGTGGGCTGGTTGGTGGACTGGTTGGTGGACTGGTTGGTGGGCTGGTTGGTAGGCTGGTCGGTGGGCTGGTTGGTGGACTGGTTGGTGGTCTATGGGCTGGTCGGTGGGCTGGTCGGTGGGCTGGTCAGTGGACTGGTTGGTGGGCTGGTCGGTGRACTGGTCGGTGGACTGGTTGGTGGACTGGTTGGTGGTCTATGGGCTGGTCGGTGGGCTGGTCGGTGGACTGGTCGGTGGACTGGTTGGTGGGCTGGTCGGTGGAATGGTCGGTGGACTGGTTGGTAGGCTGGTCAGTGGGCTGGCCAATGGGCTGGTTGGTTGGTTTACTGGTTGTTTATTGGTCAGTGGGCTGGTAGATAAGTTTGGTAATTCAGGGGTTAGGCCAGTTGATCGTAGCTGGTTTTGATCCTTCACCCATTTAGAGAAAGTACGTTTTGAGTCACAGGTTGATCCGATCAACTCATTTTATTTTGTCGAAAGCTGTTTCCTTGTTGACTCAATAGGAGGGTCATGAATTTCTTACTGAGTGAAAGAGAAAGGGCTACAACCAATAAAAAAAATTACTGGGAATCCCCCAGGCCTCCCTCCACGTACCTTCCCTTAGATGGTTTAATTGGAAGGCCGGTCATTTGGATGGTCAATCAGCCAGTAATTGGGTAATTGGGTGTCGTTTTGTGACTTGTTTTGCTAACCTTAATGTTGAACATTATAGAATGTGAACATCTTATACGTCACATGCTGGTGAGGGACCCTGTCAAGAGGTACACAGTGAAACAGATACGACAGCACAGGTGGATGACGGAGAATGGAAATGTACCAGATGTAGAAGACCCCACTCATATAGAACCACCATGTGAAGAAAACGAATTTGATCAAGATGTACTACGAGAGATGGAAGCTATGGGACTGGACAGAGAAAAGACCATACAGGTAGGAAAGACAGACATAAATTGAATGATGATGATTGTGGGGTTAATGATGATCCATAGTGATTGTGATGATGATGATAATCCATGGTAATAATGATGATGGTGGTTGTGGTGGTAATGATTATCCATAGTGATTTTGATGATGATGATGATGATGATGGTGGGGTTAATGATGATCCATAGTGATTGTGATGATGATGATAATCCATGGTAATGATGATGATGATGATGGTGGTGGTAATGATTATCCATAGGGATTGTGATGATGATGATCCACGATTGATGATAATCCATGGTAATGATGAGATGATGATGGGTGTGGTGATAATGATGATCCATAGGGATTGTGATGATGATAATCCATGATAGATGATAATCCATGGTAATGATGAGATGATGATGGGTGTGGTGATAATGATTATCCATAGTGATTGTGATGATGATGATAATCCATGGTAATGATGAGATGGTAATGATGAGATGATGATGGGTGTGGTGATAATGATGATCCATAGTGATCGTGATGATGATTATCCATGATAGATGATAATCCATGGTAATGATGAGATGATGATGGGTGTGGTGATAATGATTATCCATAGTGATCGTGATGATGATGATAATCCATGATAAATGATAATCCATGGTAATGATGAGATGATGATGGGTGTGGTGATAATGATTATCCATAGTGATTGTGATGATGATGATGATCCATGATAGATGATAATCCATGGTAATGATGATGATGATGATGGTGGGGTTAATGATTGTTCATGAATATATTGTTTTTTCCCCCAAGACCATCCAAACAAAGAGCTATGATCCCAATGCCGGGATTTACTCGCTTCTTGTTGAGAAGCGGAAAAAATCCGGCGCCAGTAGTAGTACGGCTACGTCAACCACGCCCCAAGAAACATCCGTCACCCCCAATCCTCACAGGAGTGAGACAACACCACATGATGATGGCACGGAAATGATGGACACTGATGCTGAAGTGGAAAGAGCTACAGCACATGCGCGTTCGTCTGGCAGACGTGAATCAATCGTCCCTGTTGTTCACGTGACACCTGATTCACCAACCAGGGAGCTCACCACAAATACCTGGCAGTCAACGTCAGAAGAAAACGAAGAAGATGATCTAGTAGCCGAGGAGATGCCGCCAAATATCAAGGCTTATCTCGCCAACCGGCGGTACACAGTGACAGCGGTCGACCCCATGCACGAAATCTCTGAAGAACTTCGTGAACTGTTGAATCAGAAACTAGAGGGGGGTCCACCAAGTCCAGAGAATCCTTACCCCATTCCACCATTCCCTGGCATGACTCCTTTCTCCCCCACCACAGACCTGTCACTTGCTTATAAAGAACAGATACTTCAAGTACCGTCAGTGTTCCAACTAAGACAGCCATTCGGCAGGAGAGCTTCAGATGGTGCTGCTAGTCTAGGAGCAGGGATTGCTCAGTTTAATGCTCTTAGAGCTCTGACTCAGTTGGGTGACACAGACCTGAGCAATCCAGGTTCACAGGTGGATAACTCCCAGTGTTCCAGTACTCCAGCTCCCTATACAGTCTCTCCTGGACCCTCTAGCCCACATATGAGTGAGGCTAATGATAGTGGATCAGACCAGGAACCTGATCCTGAAGCAGTGGCTCGGTATTTGAGCAGAAGAGGAGCACGACAGAGACACACTCTAGGAGTCACCGAGCCCTCGTCGGAAATACCCGACGATCTACAGATGAAGCTCCTCCAGCTGCCCCTCAAGGCTCGTAGAGGATTTTCTCCCGTTCGTGAACGAAATCCAAGGGAGAATAACCTAGTGCCTACTCATGGAGGAATAAGATACACCTCGTCACGCAGGGCATCGGATGGTGCTGCTTCCATCCTTGCTTTCAAACAGCACCTCGAACGCCTCGAACGCAACCAGGGTAGTGGATCCAAAAGAAACAGTTTGAAAGAACTACAAGAGGAACATCAAAAACTGCGCGAGCAGTATGGATCGCTGGTGGAAGAAGAGACCCAGAGAGTACAACAACAACAGCAACAGTTGCATAATCTTCATCATCATTGTCAGATGATGGGTCGTAGGGCGTCTGATGGCAGTGAAGCTTTAGCCTCCACTATTGCTCAGTTTCAACAGCAACTACAAGAACAGGCGAAGAAAGATTTAGAGCTTGAGTCTAGTAGGACGGCGCCATCACAGGAAGATGATCTAGAGGACAAGGAGATTCTTCTGGAACCGCAGCTTCAGCAACAGATGCAGCGGTTAAACATCGAGACTTGTGGGAGTAGCGTTGGTAGTACATCAGGTCATTACGAGTCTTCCACATCACAGTCTGGGATACCATCAGTGTCACCTCGAACAAGCGTCATCCTCGAAGGGTCTGATCCCCGTCAGGTTTATTCCACTCAAAATGCTCTCTCAACGAGTCCTACTCCATCTTCCCTCGTTCTTGACCCCTCGTCTTCCACGTCCTCTGATCTTTCTCCGCCCTTATCCCCTCTTCCTGCTGTATCCTTGTCTCAGCGGTATCCCGTGCCGGAAGTGCAAAGCATGGGAACAAGTAGCGGTACTGATGAACGGATTCTTCCTGATTCTGCCCTTATACCTGGATTTCCAATGAATTTTGCGCATTTATCTCCACACCTCGGCACTCACTTAATCAATGAAAATGACCTTGTGGACCTTAGTAGCGTCCCCTGGCCTGCGGACAGCGGTAGACTCTCACCTACTACCGCCTCGTTGATATCCACCCTAGGCAATCCGCTGACCAGTCGTCTTGCCAGTACTACAGGTCAGCGGACGCCTCTACGTCACTATCGCCACCATACTGTGCCTTCCTCGCAAGAGGTGTGGAACAACATGGACCTTTTAAGGCGAGTGGCCGCAAATAACGCACTAACTTCTCCGAATCACGCACGAGATATGCTTAATAATAATATTAATTTAAAAGACCTAGGAGGCAATGGAACTGGACTTCTTCGCACGATGTCTCCAAACGGATCTATTTATACTGAGCCTCTTTTTAAGTCAAGCAGTAAGGGAGATCTCAACAGCGAGCTCTCCCCTACTAGTGTTCGATTTGCTTTTTCGATCTATATGACGTCAAACAAGGATGTGCCGGACATTATTAGTGAAATACGACGAAGATTAGACCAGCAGTCACCCAACGTGGCGTATGAGCAGGCAGAACAGGTGTTTACTGTTAAACATGGGGCAGTATGTATGGAAATAGAAGTATGTCAAATACCGGAATATTCGTTAAACGGACTGCGCCTGCGTAAGGTCAGCGGTAATCAGTGGCAATACAAGAAACTATGCCAGGAATTGTTCACTGGAATAGATTTGTGATTTAACACCTCTGGAATATTTGCCTCGGTAATTGAATTGAAGAGCGGCCTTCGTGTCTTACATAATAAAGCACTCTACTTGTGCCAGTGAAAATTCGGATTATATTCGAACACTGGTTTGAACTGAAATGCACCCATTTGCTAATTATAAAGGATTATTACTCAAGACCGTTTTATCAATGGATTGATATGGTCACATGATCAAGAATACTTATTAATTTGAATTGACGCAAATCCGAAGGTACTGCCTCTCTATTCTGTTTCACCGGCGATTTGCATATAGTCACGTGACACGAGTCAAGAGAATATTGTTCCAGTAGTCTTGAGTAGTTTCAAACTACTTGGCTCATTCTTGGACTATTAATTTATTCTTAATATAATAATAATATATTCAGAAGAAAGATTGGAAAGCTACAGATAATAAGTTAGGAAGAGAGAGAGAGAGGAGGAAAAAGCGGGCTTCTTGGAGTCACATGTTTTTCACCTTCAAGAAAGGTATGTAGCGACAACAATTTTAATTTAAAAATTTATTTTGTAGTGTATTTTAAAAATAGTTTGAGGTTCCAAGTAGAATTTCTTCTCAGTCTCCTCGCATTTATTCTGAATGCAAGGGCACTGGTGATGAGCTAGCTTCGGAAGCTTTTCGAGGTCAGTACTTGATGTTGGGCATCTTATGATTGAATGATATAAAGAAATCGTTATAGGTATCCTTACATGAAGTACTTACCTGCATTGACCCAATAGTGTTACGAAATGGATTGTGGGAGGGAGGAGAGGAGGTTAATTTTAACTCATCTGACGTCATTTCCGCTTAATATGCACTTACTTTGGTGGCCATTTTTACTTTGCTAGATTTTTATACTATAGTTGCTTTCATTCCAAGTCACAGTTTAACCTTCTTCTCCTTGCCTTGCAATTTACTCCAACAGTTGGGTCAAATAGGTCATTCATATTAGATATTGAATTATATTCACATGCTCTTGGATCAATTGAAAAATATTTTCATGTTCAGGGTGACAGAATCTAAGCTAGAACTAAAGCTAAAGCCACAAACATTTGATATTTTAGTCACTTGATCAATGCTTCAATGTTTGAACTAGAATCATTTACAATATTCAAAGAGAATCATGATGGTTATGAATGGATGATTACCTAAAAGCCTCCTTGAGCTTAGTCTCAATGTTTCATACTGAACATGGAAATGTTTTTGCAGTTTGGTAGTCACTATTGATCAAGGACTGCAAATACAGGTGCTTCCTCATATCACTCTAGATCCTGCTATTGCCCTTCACTTAATGTGTGCTGTGAGGGGTAACCATTTGAAACCATTGTCATTCACTTGCCTTACTCAATTGAGATTGCTGGACTGAACAGAAAATGAAATAGTAATGATAAAAAGGTAAATTATACACCGTGAAAAGATGAGAAAATGAAATAGAATGATATCGTGAATACGGTGCATTCTGGTCTAGATACATGACCCTCCCTCTACCCACGGCACCGCCGCCCACTGGTGATCGATGACCAGTCCCTTATATGGTTGTTATACCCCCTTATTGTCCAGATTGCAATTTTTACATCGAAGCAAGAGAATTGTCAAGATTTCAGTCGTAATAACCGATGTTGATAGGAGTGTTTGTATTTGCAGTCCTTGTATCTTAAAATTAATCTAGCGAAAATTTATTAGGTGAATATAAATAGCATACAGTATTGCCAATGAAACGAATCGGCACTAGATCTATCCTAGTGCCGTACTCTATGTTTTTCATTCTTAACACGAGTATCTCGCCACTATTCGAGAATGAGTCCATCTTATAAGGATCGTTTACATGATACTGAAGTGCTTTTCTCAACACCCATTCGGTGGTTATACCGAAACGAGATTTTGTGTGCGCTTTACGTTGTAGTACTAGCAGGGGCGTTGGTTTGTTTTGGGGGAGGGTAGAGAGGGAGGGATTTGTCTAGATTAGTGAGGAGTCCCCCCCCCCCCCCCCCCCCCCAATTTTAGGGGGGGCCCCCCCCCCCCCCCCCCATGGGAAATTCTGGATACGTGCCTGAACGTGGTACCGAAATGAGAGTTTCGTATTCGAGCACAAGAACCGAATGAACGTGGCTTGTGCTGGTGTTAAAGTATGCAGTGTTGGTATCATGTATACGAAACGGGATGAACAATGAACGTGTACGATCTGTCCCCAACCAATAATGAATTATTCAAATATTTCAATCAAAAATCACTTAACTTTTAAATATTAAGAATTTAGTTCGTGGATCGTTGTGAATTATCATTTATTTAAGTGTAAATGGCGAGTAGCGTTTGTCTAGGTTGTTTTTATTGTATTTATTTAGAATCGGAACGATTCGGGTCTATGTTCCCCAATACTTTCCTCTGTCGCTCTGAACACAGGAAGCCCGCCATGTGTGTGCCATTAAAAAAATTGTGTGCTAAACGGTTTGCAAGTTTTCAACATTTGTTTGTGCGTGTGGGTGTTGTAAATTATTGCGTGGAAAGTAGAGAATTTTTTATTAAGTTATTTAAGAATACAACTAGTTGTCTGGAATCTTTGATCTCTTCATAGAGATTTGCAATCAATATTGATTTTGTCGCTCTGTTCTTTTTTTCCTTTGAAATTTTCTCGCTTTTAACTTAGGCATAAATTTACCTTTAGAAACTTAGGAACTTAAAAAAACGATGGAGCTTAACCTACAAGGGTTATTAGGGATGTATTTATTGTAATAATCGAAAACCCCATTTATTCCCATGATGCTTAGCGGTGCAGCTCCATAGTTTTTAGAAGGTACCTAACTTTTGAAATAACTATATATAACATTTTCCGCTATCAAGTGCAACCAGGCCTTTGCGTGCGAGAGAGGCTAAGAGAGTTTCTTGTACCACGTGATAAAAGTCTTCAAATCACATGACCTCTAGCCTCACGTTCATGCCGAGGCTTGTTTAAATGAAGTGGTAATGAATCTATGGCCACTAGCTAAATGAACACGCATCTGTGTTAAATCATCCTTGAATAAATGACCTTTGCGAGGTTATGACAAGGCATGTGCAAACCTGTTTGAACTTGATACACTGTTTATTGATGACTTCCATGGTTCACAGCTTCACTTCCGCTTATTCTTGTTTAAGCATGGAACCAACTAACATTCACGGTAAAATACAAATAGGCTCACGATTGTCTCCTTCAAGTCTTGTCTGACGGAGGGAGCCGGGAAGTGCCCTACGAGCCTCTCTTTGGGGAGTAAAAAAATTCGCCAATGAAAACAAAAACTTTGATTAAAAGTAACTTTACTCTTTGTGCGTTCCTTGTCAGTATCTTGCAAAAATATAAATGATTAAATCAATAATTATTAAACAAATATTAATAAATAATATTTAATCCATGTGGTACTAATGATAACACCCCTTGAGTCTGTCAAAGTTCTTACTCGTCGTTACCGTAGCAACTGGCATAAGGTCGAGTGAGTGAGTATTTGCGAAACAAAAACCCATGATGTTGTACATTAGAATATCGGTTTTGATGCAATTAGATAATGTAATATATTTACACACTTTGTAAAATGAAATGACAAGGCAAGTTACTAAATAGTGAAATGTTATCTATATAAATATATATATGTATATATATAAGCGTACAGAGATATCATCTTAGTACAATAAAAATCAAAACAATGCAAACACTGTTCTTGGCGCACTTGTTGCTTGTACATAAATCACGATTACCAGTGTCCCCCCTGATAGAGCAATCTCCATGGCAACTATACATTGTCTCCCCACCCTGAATTGTCTCCGACACAAGAGTCGTCGCTCGGACAAACGGACAAGCAAGATGGGCCTATAACCGCCTCAAAACAACATGGTAATTTTAAAACGATTGTTGACTTCCTTTCTTATGAAACTAGGCGTATTCCGGCCAGATTGAGATTAAAAGTGCTCGAAAACAATAGCTGAGCACGTTTTCGATGTAAAGGCTTTGATATCAACAGGACGTCTTGCTGTGAGCTTTTGACAAATCGAAAAGGCTTTAAAAAATATGTATGTTATTGAATGCCGCAGGTTGTCAACCGGTACCGCTGTGCTGCTGGTAGGTTAGGGGCCATGAAGCTCCTACCGGGAAACAACGCAATTAAATGTCTAGAAATCCTTGTATAAAACGTACTGCCCGCGATACAAGCCAAACAAATAGCAATCCATTCCTTGTGGGGGAAAAATAGTTTTAAAAATGTCAAAATTGTGCATAAAGTTCGCGTTTGTATACAAACCAATACTCAAAAGTCAGTTTGTTCATAGTTCCAGAAGTAGTAGTTTGTAAGTTTTGTCAACAAGAGTGGAAAGAGAATGAAATATTTATCAATTGTGTTATTGCATTTTGATTGTTTTTTGTCAGGTAATTTTTGTAGGTTTGAGGTAGGATTAGGGCTTTTGTTCCTGACCAAACGCGGGAAATTATACGTTGGGGGCCCATGCCGTGAAGTACTTATAAGTATTGTTCTTTATTATTATGGCATTTGAACCTCGCTGGCAATGTTTCTCATTGTATAGTCTACAGATTTCTCCTGTTAGACAGTGCCCAAAACAGATACCAGTTCAATTTACATCAAATCTTCAGTCAGACTTTATCGATATCCTGAAACAAGAGTCTTATTCCCGGGGAGGGGAGGGGGAGGGGGGTCTTATTTACCTCATGATACCTTTGTTTCCACCTCTGGGCTGATCAAAGCCAGGGCACGGCTAATTCACAGAATTGGGCATGTTAGGGAGTGCGAGCCTCGGAACACCTGGAGAAAACCCTCAAATGAAGGAAGAGTCCCCGACTTATTTTGTGCTTTTCGATATCTTTGAGTTTCTATCTATTTTAGTTACTTTTCTTTGTTATTTTTATTACTCTCCCACGCTACTCGTCAGTGGGTTGTAGATCCAATGACGTCCAAATCGTGTCGTCCCTTGGTCGTTTCATCTTGATCTATTGAGGTAAATTAATCGTTCAAGGAGTGTCTTGAGAAACATAATAAAGTAGTTTCTGGAATAATTGAAGATCGCTCAGGATCTAGGAATAATACATAAATAGTCAAGGAACTGATCAGACACTAGCACCCAACAAGGTCTATTTTCTAATGTAATTTTTTTAGATCCCAGTCATCCAATTATAGGTTGCTTATAATACATTCTTACGTCATGTAATGACACTCAAATGGCTTCATCTTTGATCCAATCAAATCTATCAAACGGTAATGTTCAAATATGGCTTTATATCTTGACCAATCAAGTTTAAGTCCATAATGTACCAAAGTGTTCCAAACGAAAAGCCTACTAATCATTGGTGCATCCATCCAGAATGACAGCTAAGAGATAATTAACAAAATTTACTACTGTTTATCAGTTAAAAGCGAAAGTTTGAATGAGCGAAACTCAAAACACTTCTCAAAACTTTATATTTTTGTTTTTTGCGTCTGCATGAAAGTCGTCGTTTCGTTTTCTTCATCTACGTCAACGTATTTAGGAACATTACACAATCTCTTCAAGGAGGCCATTGTTTCTAATATATATGCTACTAATGTTTGAATTTTCCGTTATTTGCTGACCAACCTTTCACTCAAGAGGGTACTTGAAGCTGTCGTTGAACTAAGGATATCACGAAACTTGATTTTACTGAAAAATAAAACTCGCTCGTAAGATTAATTCTTCAATATTTTCAACAGAAATCAATATTAAAGTTGATTTTCTACACTAAACTCCCGAAAATCAAACTACATTGTTGATACATGCATTTGTGTTCTTGTTTAGTTTGAGTTATAACGCTGTTTCTTGTGCCATAAGGAAACGCGTAAACAGTACATCCATCCAGCAAATGGCAGAGGACAATTGCAAAAATAGATGCTCAGACAGTTTTTGGCAAGGTTTGCCGTCCGTTGAGCCCGAGGAGGTGGGGTTCAGTTTAAAAAATAAAAATTTACTATGCAATATTTCGGCTGTCGTTTTTCTTATTCTTTTGTGAAAGATTGTATTATATTGTTGTTGTTGTTTCATTAGGTATTAAAGTGATCTGAATCTTATCAGTTATGATACGTTCTTCGTATGGCAACCTACTTTTATCCTTAGAAACACCGGTACCATCCATCCATGATATAAGTTGTCGTTTATGCCTCTTGCATCGGTAACCCATGATCAATTTATATCAACTTGTCAAATAAATACATGTGTCAGCCATGACATCTTGAAAGGCTCGTAGTTTAACGTATCAGTTTCTCTTTATAGAACACCACCATATATATTTTGTTTTATCATTACCAAAGGGCTTGATTAAACAATATTGAGATTTGAAGTTAGAATGATAAAGAATGAAAGAACTAAAAAATGTAACACTTCTTCGACGAACTTGTACAATGACAATGCTTTATCAATCTCATTTATTGACGACTCAACAGCTGTCAAGCGATCATGTGTATATCAAGTAGTATTGGTTTTTTTTCAAGTGTTGTGAAGAAATAATGTCTTTCCTAAAGGGCTTAGTTATTGTTATAGTACCTATTATTCTCAATTTTGGGGAGCCTAGTTCAAGGGTTCAGTGCTAGTCGTGTCCGCTTGCTGAAAGTTCGTCATGATGTTATGTAAATACGTCCCATGTGTGGAAGAAACTGAAAACCTCTCTGCTTAAAACAAAGATTTCTCTAGCTTCTTCTGAATTCTAACTATAAATTTTATGTTGATCTTAATTCTCGTAAAAAGAAACGAAGCCAAGAGAATGAGAATGAGAATGAGACTACAGTCGGTTTTCCGTGTCGAGCTACTAAATATGTGAGATTATCGATCAAAATTCCAAGCATTGATTCCCAATTAACCAAGACTTCCATAGCCTATTAAATGTAGATTATATCTAGGGGTAAAATTGACGACTTATCTGGGCTGAAATGCTAGAAATTCTGTATTTCTCTGTTTCATATGGGACTCCCACTTCCGATGACGCATTATTAGTCTTTATGTTCGCCCTCAGTCATGATTTCACTAGACAGTTTTTCCATTTATCATGTATTTTCCTCCCACTACTTGGTGAATTAAAGGTCAAAATGATCGTGATAAACTTCTCTAACGATATCGGAAATATTTCCCTACGTTTTTGTCAGAAATCAATCCAGGAAAGCGGTCAAAGCGGATTTACTTACACCGCGAGCCCGCCAAAATAGGCTAGTTTGCTACCACGAGGAAATAACCATTTCTGCTGTTAAAACAAGTCTTTCTTTCTTCATATAAACGGATCTTTTAATCTATACAAAACTATCGACTCCATGAATTCTTTATTCATCTTTGTCGCACCCTCAGTCAGGCTAATAGTTTTCTGCCCGATATTGACAATATTTTAATTAACTATTATCGCTTATATACATTTCGTCTGGTTTTATAAGTAATGGTTTTCTTTTTCATCTGATTGGATCGTTTTAATGTCAACATATACAGCTTTGTTTCAAGATTACAGTTAGTAATCCAGAAAAAAATACGTGCATTTTCATCGATTGTAAATTATTTACTCAAAGAAGGATCAAACCCTACCGATTCTGTAAACAATTCAAATTTGTAAACAATTTGGAGGTGAATAAATTCAGATGCATTGTTGAAATGTGTTGTCAAAAAAGTGTCGGTGGTTTAAAAACATTTATTCTATTTCACACACGACTTGAAAATGGTCTTCTTTTTGATGTTGTTAAATTCGCAGAACTGAAGAAGCGTGTTTTGAGATATATGGATTACTGCTAGACCAATATAAATACACACACAGCTCTGTGAAGTAATTACCTTTTGAATTACTGATATCACTACCATTAAATCCTTATTAAACTCAAGAATAGCTCACTACCATTTAACTTAAGTGCTTTATTTTCATCTACAGTCTGTAAAGCGACGATGATTTCGTAAAGAGGTCACAGATTCGTATGAAAAATACCGTATGACATGAAATACAACTAGGATTTATAACGCTTACCAGGTGGAAGACACATCAGCTATTGTTTAGCGCACTTTATTAATTAGGTCATGCCCAATATGGGAACGGCTTTCTCTCGGCGGCACCAATGAGGCGGTACTTTAACCTGTCAATTAATCGCAGGATAAGGCGAACTTAGATGACCTCCAGCTAGCTGGTTCATGATGCGAAAATAGAAAGCCAATCTTGTGCATCGATCGCGAGTCATCAGGGTGAAACGCAGAAACATTTGGGAGTCTTCTTCATTTATTTTGGTGTTGAGTGGTAGACTGTGTGAACGGATTTTTATACACGATCTTATTCTTACCGAGTGCTGTAACTTATACTAAAGCCAAGAGACAAGATGAAGCCTTCGAGAAGTATTTATTCGATTTGTTTATTGAGTGTTTTATTGGCGTGTTTGTGTTCTACGAGGAAAGTAAAAGCTTCTTGTTCAAAACAACTCGGTCCAGCCGTTCCTCAACAACCACGGATTCCATCACAAGGTAAAGTAGTTTTTCGCCAATTCAATCATGTCTATACTTTGACTTTGGTTTAGCGTGCCTTCTAGAAGTGCGGCTCGCGAAGGTTTTGTCATTCAAATCACGAGATTCTTCTCTCTTTCTTTCCTCAGGCCATGAGCCAAAAATTTGTGTTAATAACAAGACTTGCTGTACACTGCAAATGGAAGGAGATTTAAAACAGAAAGCAGTAAATGTCCTGAAAGACAAAGTTGACAGAAGGTTGGATGGACTAAAGGGACCCATGGATACTCTTCGCAAAACACTCAAAGGTGAGTAACTTCATGATCTTACTTCAAAATGAATAATCTAAAGTGGGTTATTGTTAAAGTAAACTGAACTTCTTCGACGGTATGTTATTGTATCTTCAATTTTATAACCTTCGATGATGATAGACAAGTTATCCCCATCTTCTCTACCAAGCAATTTAAAAGAGACTTTAAAAAATGGTTTAGCTTACCCCACGAGAAGCAGTCAATTTTGTCACGAAACTCTGTTATAATATAATTTATTCCCTAGAGAAATAAAAAAAAAATTCCCAATTTTTTTGTTTTTGATATTAGATCCATTTTGAATCGTCCTTTTCAAAGCTTTTTGAAATAAAACTCTGGATATATTTTCTTGGATGCCACGAGGTAAGATAGTCCGGATCCCATGAAATCAGTCCTCGCGAAAAATCAGAAACTCTAAAAAATAACTTTTCCATTAACTGGAGACGTAATGTCAAAAATAGTCTAGTTTTCAAGTGTTTCCCAAATGGACTCCAAGAAAAACCAGAGCATAGTTTTACATTTCTTAGAGGTAAGTCATCATGTTCTTGGGCATCAATACAATAACGCGACCTTCTGCTGTGATTTAGAATATTTAGTTGTGTGTCAAAAAAACTCCATTGAAAAAGAATGCATTATTTAACTTTAATGTTTTACTAGTATTTTTAAGAATACTGAACTAGCTAACCCTTTTTGTTCAAGGTGTTGGTGTAACTACTACGAAAAAGGGTTAAATTATGTAAAATGTTTTTTCAGTTGTGCGAAAACCATTCTGTAGTTTTAAATGCGTTTCGAATTTCTTTGGCAAAGAGTATTCTTTACTAAACAAACTCCATCTTCTCCGTTTGAAGGAGTTTCGTTTCCTAAACATGAAAGGCTATGCTTAATCCTCTTGTTTATCAAGCTTCTTGGCTGCTTTGATTCACAAGTCTTAGATTTTCCGACCACTTTAAAGAAAACGTACTACTCGTTCACATGAACTTCATTTTTAATATTCTTTATTCATGATAAGCTTCTGTGGTCGCCCGACCCGACCACAAAAATAAACCACTCTGTTCATGAATACAGTGTTTCCTTTCAATGTATCGACACTCACGCTTATTCTTGTCACTTAAGCCTCAAACCATGAAAAGGATAAGAATATTTTAGCACACTACTACGCAATGATATCATATTGGACTTGGATTCAACTTGAGCGCTTAGTTTTCAATATTTAATGAGAAAAAGACTCCAATCTTTATGTAATTTTTGATTACTTTTCATTGTGAAAAGTGAGCCTATTCTTATTTCTAATGCATGGAAAAATGTAGTCTTTATTTCTTGAGAGTGAGACTAGTATAATCGATGGTATTGGATATTGCATGGGTTAAGAATGATTGAGCTACTCAGCCATATTATTCACCAAGTCAATCTTTATTTCACTGTGTAGAATATAACATCAACGCAGAGAAAGCGTCTCTCTTCACCCCATTTTTCTAATACATTCATTTTCAAAGAAATATTCTGTGATATATGTGAGAAGTATGGCAAGCTTTAAGTGAGTTGCCCTTCGGCAAATATAGTATAGATATGTAGAGTGTTTGCTCTTGTCGTGGAATACCAATACTGGCCTTTGATCTTGGAAGATCTATTGAAAAGGATTCCTGAAGGGGGTCGAACAGAGAAATATGTAGATCAGTTGCCCCAAGGACTCAAGCGTCTGGCTTCGTGTAACCATGTTATATTCTAATGAATGAATTAGATCCGATATGATTTGGTTTTATGAAAGAGTAGTTGGTGTTCAGAGCATAGTGATTTCAAGAATATTCGGTAGTTACTAGGAAGTTGCTAAGGAGAGAGTGTCTGATGAACCGTTATAAGGGTATTTAATGAGTTACAGGTGTGATAGGGAGGGAGGGGGGGTTAACGTGTTGTCGGTTGGTCTGTCTTTATTGTAGTTTACAACCTCGCCACTTTAACAATTAAATATTCTAATAATGAAATAAATGAAAAAAAGATAAAGAAGAAAAAAAAGAAATCCTAACGCGAGAACCCTTAACCAGGTCAACAGGAACGTTATTCGAAGCCAAAATGAAGATGTCCATTTCCTCCTGTCCGCCATTATATTGATAGAATATTGCATTTTCATCTTTGTGGTTCTTATCTTTTCGACCTTGTAATTTCAGTTCATTTCCAAGGGGTCATCGAAGACGCCAAGCTTACAAATCTAGAATTTCTTCACAAACAAAACGTAAATATCTCAAGTATTGGTCTCCCGTTAGTGACCGCGTTGTTCAACCAAGTTGAAGACTACATTGACAACCCTAATGCCAACCTCACGACTGTTGTATTGCAGTTTTTTCGTGACGCTTTCCCGCCATTGTTTAACTACGCTACCCGTCAGTCTCAGAAGTTCTCCCACCAGTACGAAAAATGCTTGAAGAAAAGTGTCGATACTGTTCAGATTTTTGGCAAAACTCCATTTCGAATTGCAGCCCAAATAGAAAAAGTTCTGAGACCAATGCAATTGTTTCTTCAAAGTCTGTCTTTTGCATCGAAAACAGTGAATGAAACAAAGACATTAGGTTTTACAAAGGGCTGCCCGCCATTGCTGCTCCAGATGAAATATTGCGCCCTTTGCAATGGAGAGGATAAAAGTGTCAAACCTTGTGAAAACTACTGTATTGACGTCCTAAAGAGTTGTCTCGCTACCAGTGTGCAACTACAGTCTCAATGGGGGTTGTACTTCGATGCTTTAAGAGACTTGTCAACCAGCTTGTCCAAGTCACCCAACCGGGAAAATGTTTTATATTCAGTGTTTCATGAGCTATCACTGGCAATATATCAAGCTCTTCCTATCCATATTAGTGATGATAAACTTAAGGTGGGTAAAAATCACTCTCACTCGTTTTTGAAATATTACATTGAATATGGTCTTAAGGGAAGGTTTGAATGTTCATTTAATAGTCTAAAATTGACCTGGCTTCGATTGGCAGTGTTGTCCCATTTCAAATCATTTGGGACAAAATCTCCTCGAATTACATGATCTCCTATGAGAAATGAAAAACTGCGACCACGAACTAAAATGCGACCCGGCAAAATTTCAAGAACCTCGCAATTTTTGGTGTTAACCATGCTCTTGCTGTATTGGTATACGACAAAATGAGGTCACCAGTCAGTAGATCTACACATTCAGTAATGAAGCAATTACCAAGGTATTGGCCAGCCAATTTATATCTAGTCAGTTGAATTGCTAGAATTCTTCAATCCTAAGGGTGTTTTTGCCTACTGAGGCAGAATTTTGAGGAAAACGTGCAAATGTAGCGTAATAAGTGAATGGGAGTGCTGTTTGCTTCAACCAAAGACTTTGTGAAACGTGGATATTTTGGTATGGATTCAGTGGTGTTCTGGTCAGTGTTAAACAGCAACGTGAGGTGCAGGTTAACTAGATACTAAGTTCAGCGCAAAAGAAAGAATTATTGACATTCAATACAAATGAAATATACTGTACAGTCAATGTCAAAATATAAATGATTAAAAGGCGAGGGGTTACGGATTTGTTCTGATTGTTTTTTATATACAGTCAATGTCATTAACGTTGTCCACCGAAAATAGACATTTACACATTTAGACATTTACACGTTTAGACATTTAGACTAAAAGAAGTATCACGTGTTTCATTATGTATTCTTTGCCTCGTGTGCGTCAGCCTGAACAATAAATGTAAAACTCAATTCGTGAATCGAAAATCCAGAATGCCCCGACCATTTAGTGAGGATTTAAGATGGAGAATGGTATTTCAGCGTTTGTTTTATGCCAGAACGTTAGAGGAAACACGTGATATTTCTTTTAGTCTAAATGTGTAAATGTCTAAATGTATAAATGTCTTTTTTCGGTGGACAACGTTAATGACATTGACTGTATATAAAAAACAATCAGTACAAATCCGTGACCCTTCGCCTTTTAATCATTTATATTGTATGTTATCGTGGGTTGTATTGTGTTAACCAACGGTTATCATGCATTGTTTATTTTAGGCTGGGTTATTCCAAGCATGTGGACCGCCACAGTTCGGTTCTGGGATAAGCGTGCAAAATGGTGGCCAAACAACAGGCACGCAACAGCACATCAAGACACAGCTCAAAGAAGTCATGACTAATGCCAACAAAGAATTGACTTCTTTCAAGACATCATACGAACAGCTACCGCTTGATGTGTGCACCAAGGAACGAGTGTCTGCTCCTCAAACGGAAAAAATAGTATCTGGAAATTGTTGGAATGGAACAGCTCTGGGAAGGTAAGAACTAGCAAGCAGAATGGAAGTGAATAAATTTTCCAGAACCTTCATTTATTTATAGTTTGATAATTGCGTATTCATAATGACTGATGACCTAGTCAAAGCAAAAATCAATTCTGCGAAAACTTGAAGGGGATTTGATGTCAATAATGAATGGGCGCGCAGGAGGTTAAGAAAAAAATATTTTCAATCAGTCATCATTATATAAAGATGATATCATCATTATATATATATTTTACCTGCTTAATATTACGTATTGACCTTGTAATTCTATGAATCTTCAATTCCAATCGCTGTCAAACCCTAAATAATTTATAGGAAATGATTTCAAAGTCTCAACTTACTTCTAAAATTGTCATACATGCCTCAAATCACTCCACTCCCCAATTTTCCTGTGCGTGAATGCAGGATTGGATTACCTGGCGATAGACGCGCCCTTGTCGGTGGATTATCTATTCAAGAAGTCGCAAGGCCGCCCGCCTGGTCTCCCGCGTTCCCTTCTTCCGTTTTATTTATAATGGTTTATTGAACAGCTCAAGGAAATGCGGCAAAAACCTGGTGTGGTGTTCAAAGAAGGCGAATGAATAGGAATTGAATTCAATCAAATTGACTAAAAAAAAGGCGAAAATATATACACCTAATTCAAAAAACGTTATCTTCGCCAAAGGCGATAGGCAATAGGAGATAGGTGAAAAGCGATAGCATATATGTCATTCCAAGATCCAAGAATAGCTGGAATGACTTGTGTTTCTTCTTCTTCTTCTCGTCAAGAACATGGATCTTCGTGCTGAGACTGATTCAATGTTCTTTGTATTCAACGAAACCATTTCCATGTCGGAATGAACTATCGCCTATCGTCTTTGGCGATGACAACGTTTTTTGAATTAGGTGTATAAATGTGTATGGAATATATGTTGGAATACATGTTGGTTATTAGGGACGAGGTCAAAACAACGACCCTGGAGAGGAGAGAGAGTACTGGGTGTCTATAGTGACCAATTGTATGCACAATACGTTGCATAAGGCTAGGCTTTAAGTAGACATTACATTCATTTCTGAATAATTTTTGGAGATATTTTGAGTACAAAATCCAGGATTACATTTGCCGTGACGTGACGTGCCTTGTGGTGACGGTTCGATTTTTAAGCATTTTGATTGGATAATCAATACTAACACGCGCTATGATTGATTGTGTGGTTGTCGTCAATTCCGCGTTACCGTGACCGTGTCGTGAGCAATCTCGTACCCAGAGCCTGCGTTTCTTCTGGCCTGCGGCGAAGAACGAGGGCTCTGGCATAATCCATATTTTGGCACATGCGCAATTTTTGGAAAGTGAGATATAAACGATCAAAATAAGCAAAGTCTAAATTAGATCGAAGTCAAAATCAAAGTCAAAATCATAGTACAAATTAAAAATCGGGGGGGAAAATATTTTTAATTATTGGCAAGTTTTTGAACGCGGGCGCTGTTATTCCGTATGGCGTTCCAATCCCGCCAAAATTCAATGTTGACATGAAACATTCAACTTCATGCATCAACATTCAAGTGTATAT